TGTAATGCCAGCAACTCCTAAGCTTGAACAATTAATGAGTAACCTTATCCTTCTTGTCCCAGTGGGTGCCAGTCATAATCTTCAGAAAAAGCTAATGAACTAGACACAAGAAGGACTCTGCATCTAGAAGTCGTATAGAATGGAAGCCCAACTCAAAATGGCTTATGGAAAGCAGGAATGAGAAAAGTCTGGGGAATCTGGATTCAGGTGCACCTGGATCCGGGGATCAAATGATATCATCAGGCTCTTTCATCCTCCCCTCCCCCGCTTGCCATTTCTTTTCCCAGCTCCACATTCTTTATCGTGGCTTCATTCTTAAGTTCCAGGTAGTGGCCTCTGGCAGCTCTAGGCTTAGTTCTTTCTTACTGCTATCAATCTCATCAGAAAGAGAGTTTTCTATCACTTTGACTCCAACAAAGATCCCAGAATTAGGTATCGTTGGATAGGTGTGAATCGTGTATGCATTTTTTTTTTTTTAAAGATTTTATTTATTTATTTATTTGACAGAGAAAGACACAGCGAGAGGGAACACAAGCAAGGGGAGCGAGAGAGGGAGAAGCAGGCTTCCCGTCAAGCAGGGAGCCCGATGCGGGGCTCGATCCCAGGACCCTGGGATCATGACCTGAGCCGAAGGCAGACGCTTAATGACTGAGTCACCCAGGCACTCCTCATGTATCCATTCTTTTTTTTTTTTTTTTTAAGATTTTATTTATTTATTTGACAGAGAGAGAGAGACAGTGAGAGAGGGAACACAAGCAGGGGGAGTGGGAGACAGAGAAGCAGGCTTCCCGCTGAGCAGGGAGCCCGATGCAGGACTCGATCCCAGGACCCTGGGGTCATGACCTGAGCTGAAGGCAGACGCTTAGCGACTGAGCCACCCAGGGGCCCCTCATGTATCCATTCTTGAGCCAATCACTGTGTCTGTGGACTTGGGAATTGCCTATTGGCTAGGCTCATCTGAGATGGATGCGATGGCCAGTTTCTGAAATGGCCCTCAGTGACCTTGCCTTCAGATACTCATGCCCTTAAATGGTCCCCTCCTACACTAAACCAAGGTTATGTGAACAATAGAAATACAACTGAAGTGATTCCATGTGACTTCCCAGGCTAGGTCATAGAGGTTTTGCTGCTGCTTCTTTTTTTTTTTTTTTTAAGATTTTATTTATTTATTTATTTATTTATTTATTTATTTATTTATTTATGAGAGAGTGAGAGAGCACATGCAAGCGGGGAGAGGGGCAGAGGGATACGGAGAGAGAGAATCTCAAGCCAACTCCCCACTGAGCATGGAGCTTGATGCAGGGCTTGATCCCAGAACCCTGAGATCATGACCTGGGCCGAAATCAAGAGTCGGGCACTTAACTGACTGCACCACCCAGGCGCCCCAAGGAGAGAGAAAATCTTAAGCAGCCTCCACGCCCAGCGTGAGCTTGACACAGGGCTGGATCTCACAACCTTGAGATCATGACCTGGGCCAAAATCAAGAGTTGGATGCTTATCCAAGTGAGCCACCCAGGCACCCCAGTATTTTATTCTTTTTGATGCTATTGTAAATAGAAGTGTTTTCTTAATTTCCTTTTTTTTTAGTCTCCATACCCAACATGGGGCTCAAACTCATGACTCTGAGATCAAGAGTCACATGCTCTTCTGACTGAGCCAGCCAGGCACCCCTATGATTATTATTGCCTTAAGTCACTGAGTTTTGGGGTGATTTGTTGAACAGCAGACATAACTAACGAAATTACTTATCCCTCAACTTTGGGTAAGGAATCAGTCCTACTCCATGTGGACTGAAGCGGAAGGAATGATTCCCTTAGGAGTAATCACATTGCTGTTAGTGGGAAGGTGAACAGAGGAAATGAACACTGGGTGAACCACACAACAGAACCCAACAATGGGTTCTCCATGGACACATACTTGCTGGAAGAGTGAAGCACTAAGATGACACTATTTCATTTTAGGTGGCTCTGAGCATCGGGGCCAGGGGGATTCAGGCCCAGATATTCCTATGCCGATTTTCCAGCTCCAACTACTGACAGTTTTTCTCCCAAGTTATCCCTAGACTTGATTGGTTATGGGCACCACAGACAATTCACTTTCATTGTCAACCTAAATATTTGCTCTTAAAGTAAGCTATTTGTTGTTTTTCTTTTCATCTAGAGAATTGAACCCCGCAATTCCTCCATATTGTGTGACTAATGTATAACTTAAGGCTTCTGCTGTTAAAATGGCTTTTTAATTTAATTTCAGTTGGACATATGTTAGCTTAGACAAAGATGTCTCCTTTGGAAGTTCACATTCCTTATTAATCTCTTCTGCCAAAGAAGAGAAAACAGAGATAAAGGAAATATAAGGGTTAACACTCCAACCAATAGGGAATCTCCTTCCTTCCTTCCTTCCTCTCCAATAAATTTCTGGAGCACCTATCATGTGCCCGGCATTGTCTATATTATCTCATTAAACCTCCTGATGATCATGAAGTGGGTATTAATGACCCCTTTTAACAGCTGAGGAAACTGAGACACATTTGGAGAAGCTAGTTGTCTTATTGGCTGATTTGTCTTTTTACAGTTCTGTTATTTAGCTCCAAAACCTTGGTGATATTAATACCCATAAGGAAAGATGAAACTCGCCCATACATTTTTGCCAGAAGTCTTATTTTAAGTTTTCTCTGTGCCAAAGGCTGCTACTCATGATTTCCTTCCAACCAATCACCAAAATACAGATTATATTTCCTGTGTGCCCAATGTGTGTGGTGCCAGAGGGAAAAAACATGGAGTTTCTGGCAACTTTTCTGCCCCTTCTGTTACCAGACCGAAGTGGGTCTACTCCTTGGTGAGTTATAAGACAGACTACATCAGATGGAGTTGCCATACACGTCATCCTTATTTGTACAAATAAGATTATGGGGAATAATTTCCAAAGCCGTGACTCTCCAAACAAGGGAAAGCAGGGTCCTTGGGACGAATATTCAAAAGGGGATTTCAACATTACAACGAGATTGAGGTAACTGTTGGTCATTTCTAGCACTTTCTGATTCATCTCTGCAGGCATCTTCCTCAGATGTTTCTTTTTCTGTTCTGGCAGTTTGTTAGTTTGTTTCTAAAAAGTAAGGTAGACAGGCAGAAGCAGCTAGGAGTTTAGTTCCTAAAAGGTAAAATGGACAGTGAAGCAGCTTTCTAGCTTCTACTAGAAATTTCCTGAGTTCCTGGGTCAGGCTGGTGACACTTCCATATCAGTAGATGATCAATTTTGCCTGAAAAATGACGCCAATAAGGGAAGCACCCACTGTTCTGACACAGTTTGCAGCATTTGGCCACAGAATTCTTCCTGGACTTGAGAACCCGGAACTTAGGCAAGCCCTTGGTAGAGAAGTTATGAGGGCAAACTCTGGAGCTAGACAAAGCTGGGTTCAAATCCCCAGTCCATCAACTTACAAGCTTTGTGACCCTGGTTTGGTCTCTAAACCTCTCTATAAAATGGGATAATATTAGTTTTTGTCTCTTACAATTCTTTTTTTTTTTTTTAAGATTTTATTTTTAAGTACTCTACACCCAAAATGGGCCTCAAACTTATGACCCCAAGATCAAGAGTCACATGCTCTACCAACTGAGCCAGCCGGGCATCCCCTATAATTCTTTTTTTTTTTTTTTAAGATTTTATTTATTTGACAGAGAGAGAGAGCGCTCAAGCAGGGGGAGTGGCAGGCAGAGGCAGAGGGAGAAACAGGCTCCCGCTGAGCAAGGAGCCCAATTTGGGGCTTGATCCCAGGACGCTGGGATCATGACCTGAGCCAAAGGCAGATAGATGCTTAACTGACTGAGCCACCCAGGTGCCCTAGCGGTGATGGGTTTTGAGTTCTTACTGTGTGCTAGGCACTGAGATGAAGCCAGGGTTGTGTACTTTTTTTTTTTTTTTTAAAGATTTTGTTTATTTGACAGAGAGAGACACAGCGAGAGAGGGAACACAAGCAGGAAGAGTGGGACGGGGAGAAGCAGGCTTCCTCCGGACCGGGGAGCCCGATGTGGGGCTCGATCCCAGGACCCTGGGATCATGACCTGAGCTGAAGGCAGACGCTTAACGACTGAGCCACCCAGGCGCCCCAGGGTTGTGTACTTTTAACTAGCTTTCTGTGATGATTCTGATGCACAGCTGGACTTGGGAAATACCAGCTCTATACCACCTAAGACATTCTGTGGAAAATGTGCATTTTGCTTTTAAGATAATTATACCACATGGGGAGCCTGGGTGGCTCAGTCGCTTGAGTGTCTGCCTTCAGCTCAGGTCATGATCCCAAGCTCCCGGGACTGAGCCCCACATTGGGCTCCCTGCTGAGTGGGGAGCCTGCTTCTCCCTCTGTCTGCCGCTCCCCCTGCTTGTGTGCTCTCTCTCTCTCTCTGTCAAATGAATAAAATCTTTAAAAAAAAGAAAGATAGCATAGCACAGCCTTCTTGATTTAAAACAAAAAACAAAACGCTTTTGTATTGCATACACACAGAAATGTGTACAACTCATAGGTGTACAATTTGATGACTTTCCCAAATTGAACACATCTATGTAGCTACCCAAGATGAAGACATAGAATGTCCCAGTCTCACTTGTGGCCCCTTCCAGTCACCAGCCCCAGAGGTAACCACCATTCTAACCCATCACCACTCACTAGTTTTGCCTGTTCTAGAACTTCCTATAAACAAAATTGTAGTCTGTACTACTTCGCTTTCTTTTGCTCAACATCATGTTCATGCTTCTAACTTGTTAAAACTACTCTTTTGGATTAAATGTGTAAAACGATGACGAGAAGGTTAGGAAGGAGACGGAAGCCTGAGATCCTGAAAGACCAGGTACAATACTTGGATTTTCTAAGAGGTGGAATCTCTGGAAGATAGGAGGGGGAAGGGGGCGTGGTTACAGTCCGGCCTGTTCCATGTGGGGGCGGAGTCTTAAGTCTGGGGGCGTGGCCACTGGCCCGTTTTCCCGGCGGCAGTTGGCACCGGGGGCGGGGCCCGCCGAGGCTTCCTGTCTGCGCCTGCGGAATCGCCGTTTGACCCCGGAAGTGCCGGCTCATTGGGAGCTGTCACCGTGGACCGCGGCAGCGGCGGCGGCGGCAGCGGTGGCTGTGGCGGCGGCACAGCGCCGGTAGTGGAGCCGCCGAGGTGAGTGCGTGGCTGGGCCCTGCCGAATGGGGGCATCGGGTGTGGGACGAGCCGCGGCCATGCCTCAGGCGGCCACGAGCCTCCCCATCTGCCTGGCGGGGCCGAGACTGACGCTCCCGTGAGTCGCCCCTGAGGCCAGGCCGCTAGAGCCGGGACTCTCGGGTTCGAGGCTCAGCCCCAGAGTGATGAGTCACAGTCCTCCTACCCTCACTCCGGGTTTCAGTTTCCTTGGAGTTCATTCATTCGTTCAACAAATATATGTCCATCGCTTCCTACGTGTCAGCCACAGATCTAGGCACTGGGGATACAAACAGCAAGACAGATAAGCACCCTCCCTTATGGAGCATACAGTCCAGTGGGAGGAGACAGTCAACGACAAATAAAGGCACAAGATAATTAAAGATATGACAGTAACTGCGGAGTGAATACTTTAGATTGGGCAGTCTGGGAAGGCCTCTGAGGAAAGTAATATTGAAGGGTGATGGCAGTCAGAGAAACTGAGGCAGTATTTGCCCTGGAGACGCTCCCAGGCCTTATTGTAATTGGTGCTTGCACCAAGCTCACCTTCTAAAGAAAGCCCTTTTTTAAGTTTGGGCTTCTGCTGCCCTGCTTGGCATGAAGGATGCAGGGGTGGGCACAGATTTCATCACGATCAATGTCCTTTTCCTTTTGGAACTTAGAGTCTCATCTTCGCCTAGTTAATTTCTACCCATACTTTAGATGAAAACTCGGATCTTCCTTGACATGCTCCCTCCCTCAAGTCTGTTCTCTGTTAAATGCTGTCACAGCCCCATGTGCCTGATCTACATAGCATACGTCGTGGTATTTTATTAGTTTGTATGGCTATTTGATTCATATCTGTCTTTTGCATAAAGACTGTAAACTCTGTGAAGGGCAGGACCAAATCTGTTATTTGCCCACTTTGGTATTCTTCAGGCTTCAGTGCCTGGCACATAGTAGGTGCTCAAAAACTTTTTGAATGGCTGAATGAAATTATTAACATGGTCTTTGCTCTCCAGTGGTTCATAGGCAGTCTCTCTGCCACCGGGTTATTGTCTTTTCTTTCTGATTATATCTCTTTTCTACTTAAATGACTCCTCACTGCCTTTAGATGAAAGGCCAAAATCTTTAGCATCACATTGGAGGCTCTTTTTTAAAATGTCTTCATCTTTCCTATCTAACCTCCTCTCTCAACTTCCATCATCCCCTACCTAACCTTGTGTTTTCAGCCATACCAAATGTCTCCCTCTTCTTTCAAAGCCACTGGTTCTGAGCCTGTGTTCACACTTGCTCTTCGCTTGGAATGCCCTTCCTCCCCATCCTTTCCCCCTGTCCTTCAACAACCAGGTTATGGGTCAACTTCTCGGAGACATCCTCCCTTTCTCTCTTGTGCTTGTTTTGAAAATTTCCTGTTACAGCTCTGATCACACTGAATGATAGTCATTTACATGCCCAGGACCCAGAACATATTCAGTCAGCCTTTTCTGAGTAAATGAGGAAGTCCAAAGTGTTGTGCCTATGGTTGGGACTTGTAATCACAAGTAAACTTTATTGAGTGTTTATTACATGCCAACTGCTGTGTTGAACACTTAGCATTGATTACTTCTCACATCTCAGTTTTACAGATGAGGAAATCAAGGCTTAGAGAGTTTAAGGAACTGTCTCCAGGTCTCAAACATGGGTAGGAAAAGGTGGAGCCGGAATATGAATCCAGGCTGCAGAACTATAAAGCTTTTAACCACCACACCAGCCTGAGTCTGAACTGCCTTTACAGGCACTGGCTTGTAGGAGTGGATTTCTTCTGAAATCAGATGCTGTCTCTACCTGTCTAGGCCTGGCCTCCAGGGCCTAGAAGTTAAAGGATGAAGAGCCACTACCTACTATGGCTCTTTCCCCAACCTAGGTCCCTACATTGGACACTCCCACACACCGTCTTTGGCAGGTGAACGTGAAAAGAACTGTGCCTGTGAGTCATTTAGACTTCTGGACTGGCAAGCAGACCCCTGGTGTTTTCAGCTGCCCTCCCAGCATCACTGGGGGGTTAGGAAAGAAGTATTTTTAGTCTGTTCAGCACAAAAGATCCAGGTGCCAAGGCAGAAGGGCTGGGCTTCAGTTTCAACTTGGTTACTAATGTATCTGCCTTGAGCAAATCAGAGCCCCTCTTTGGACATCTGAGCGTAATCGTCCCTGTTGTCTGTAACTAGGTTGTTGTGAGAGGCTAGTACGACAGTAACTTGATTAGAAGTAACGTCTGTGCAACATGTGTATATTATCTACGTTTTGGAAAGCTGAAAGGTGAAAACTCAGCTAAGCCCCTTTCATTACTTCGCACCTTATGATTTTTTTTTGAGGCCACCTCACGTGTGCAGGGACCACATGTCTGACTCATGGAGATCCTAGAGCTGGAACAGGTCTTGAGGACTAGAGAGAGTGGTCCTGTCTCTTTTACATCCTCTAGAATGGATATCTTCACAGTCTTTAAAACAGCCCATGAACTGGGGTGCCTGGGTGGCTCAGCCGGTTAAGCGGCTGCCTTCAGCTCAGGTCATGATCCTGGGGTCCTGGGATCGAGCCCCACGTCCGGCTCCCTGCTCAGCAGAGAGCCTGCTTCTCCCTCTCCCTCTGCCTGCCACTCTGCCTACTTGTGCTCTCTCTCTTTCTGTCAAATAAATAAATAAAATCTTAAAAAACAAACAAAAAAAACAGCCCATGAACTAAGGTTCCTTGTGTACCAAGCTGCTTCCTACCTCCTTACCTTTGCTCCTACTGTTTCCCCGGCCTGCAGCACCCTCCTTCCTGGCTAATCTCCACTATCAGGACTCAATTCAGGCTCTCCTGATCATTTAGGCTCCCCAGAAATGCTTTCTTGACAGCAATACCCCCTGCAAGCTCAAGTACACTAGACTCAGTACAGCGAATGGTTAAGAGCCGGCCAGCTTCACCAACTATAACTGAGTCCTAGGGCGAGTTTGTTATCTTCTCTGAGTCTCTATTTCCTCACTGATAAAATGGAGATAAAAATAGGCCTAACTTTAGAGTTGTCCTGAGCATTAATATATGCAAAGCTAGTTGATGCTGAGAAAAGCCCTAGGGAAAGCACCAGCACATGACAAGTATGTTCCTGCTGCTGCCATTATCGTTGTAATTATTGGGCCATAAGCTCCTGTGGGGCAGAGACCCTGAATTATCACTCTGTCTTAATAACACTAGGGCCTGGCCTAATATCTGAGATATGGGACATCCCATAACTCATGGCTGACCATGCCCCTCAGCTTATCTGTGAGGTTCTCAGAAGGTGACGGATGGTTTCCTCATCCCAGCCTCAATATGTCTTTGTGTTGTCATTGAGACTGTGTCATTGAGACTGTGTTGGCCTTATATGGCCTTATATGGCATCTAAGGGGCCTACTTCACTTCCATTCCGTGATCCAGCCAATATGCATGTCCCTTCTGTGGGGCAGGCCAAGTAGAATCATGGAAAGAACATTGGATGGGAAGACAAGAGACATGGCGTCTGCCACTCACTGACTCAGAGGCAGGCTTGGGCCTCTGCAGAAAAGAGCTCACACTGGCGAGTTTCTGTGAATTCTCTCATCCTCTCTGGTCCTTCTGTTCATCCACGTCCTTCTTCCCTGGAGCCTAGGGAGGTTGTAAAATCTTAAAACCCTCTACAAGTGAGGAAAGGCCCATCCCTCCATCCCTGAAAAGACTGCAGATCTGCTGGGGCGCCTGGGTGGCTCAGTCGGTTAAGCGGCTGCCTTCGGCTCAGGTCATGATCCCAGGGTCCTGGGATTGAGCCCCGCATCGGGCTCCCTGCTTGGCGGAGAGGCTGCTTCTCCCTCTCCCTCTGTCTGCCGCTCTGCCTACTTACACGGTCTATCTCTGTTAAATAAAAAATTAAAAACTAAAAAAATAGACTGCAGATCTGCATAGAATTATAAGAAAAGTGTCCTTATATTGAGTCACTCATCAAACAGTTGACGAGGCCAACTCTGTACCAGGCCTGTGCTGGTCACGGAAAAGATAGCAAGAGAAGGAGAGCCCAGGCACTGTCTTCAGAGAGCTCACAGGCCAAGGAGGGCATAGAGCTGGAGCCCTAATAAAGATCATCTAGGTCCTTTTAGCCAGTACTTCACAAAGAGGGTGGGAATGTTTCAGGAGTCACCTGGCAAGTGTCTTCCTCCTCAGTTGAGAGCTCTTGCTTTAGGCAGAAAAGTCAGCTCCGTCTGGATTAGTAGGTGCAGGCACCAGGCCTTTGAGGCTCAAGTCAGGAGCCTCCTGAGGCCAGAGGGTGAAGCTTCTCTCCTGGCTCTGGCATCAGTTCCAGGGCCGGCCCCTGCCACCAGGAGCCTATGTGTCTGCTCTCTTCTTCCCATCCATATTCCTTTCAGGAGGGTCACGCAGCACAATGCCAGCTCTGCCCTTGGACCAACTCCAGATCACCCACACGGACCTGAAGACAGGAAAACTGAGGACTTCACCAGCGCTGGTGAGCGGTACCTTGAGGCCGTTCAGCCTGATATTATCATTCTTGCAATTTCAGAAGCAAAAAGCAAATTCCTCCTTTATCTGTTCCAAGAATGACCCAAGGGCCACAGTCAGTAATTCAGTAGCTGGGACACTACTAGGTCCTTCCAGCCCAGTGCAGAAGTTTCCTTTCTGAGCAGCAGCTCGAATTTGAGTAGTATTTTCCATGTTGCCACCCCATACCTTGCCCCCAAAGCATTTCATTTTGAATCAGAGTCTGATGGCGGTTGGGACTCAACCTGAGCTGGCCTAGAAAAAGATCCAGCCCAAAGCCAGGTTTGGGGATTTGACCCTGCGGGAAGCGTTCAGGTTTCAGGTAGGCCTTTTTTGGAGCTATCGCCCCTGCTATCCACACTTCAGGGGGAACACCAGTTTCAGGGGTCAGGCTGCCTTTTATCACAAAGGGCTAAGAAGCGCCACCTGCCACATACCAACTCTGCAGGGCTTGGGAGACTGAAAAATAAGGAGGCTGTGAGCGTGCTGATTACCAGCTGCAGAGTGAGATTAGGGCTGCGGAGAGGTGCCAGGCTGAAGGAGACAGAGGTGGGGACTGCAGTCCCCACACCCACTTACCATTTTCCCAAGAATATGAGCTTACTTGAGCAAGGTGGGAGGAAGTATTTTCTAGGGGGGCTTGAGTAAAGTCGTGGGAAACAAGAGCTTGGTGTTGGATTTCCTGCTTTCTGGATGGCTTCTTATTACTTCCTAACTCCTCTCTGATAGTAGGACTTAACATTTATAGAGCACTTGCTCTGGGCCAAATCTTTCTAAACACTTTACCTGGATTATCTTGTTTAAGCCCCGTGAGTAGGTATTTGATTGTTCCCATTTTACAGATGAGGAAACTGAAAGTTCAAGGTCACAGAACTAGGAAATTAAGGGAGCCAGAATAGGAAGCCAGGTAGACTGACCCTGGATCTCATACCCTTAACCTTTGTGCTATAAAGCCTGCCATTTCTTTTTTATAACCTTTTTATGTGAGAAGGATATTTATCAGAAAATCTAGATCTGTTCTGCTCAACATGGTAGCCACCCAGTGTAGTAGTCATTCACTACAAATAGGGATTTGGCACACTTGAAATGTGGATAGTTTCAGGAACTGCATTTTTAAATTTAATTTTAGTTAAATTAAAACAGCCCATGCAGTGAGTGCCTACAGTATTTTGCCAGCACAGATATAGAACAGTTCCATTAACACAGAAGATTCTGTTGGGCTGGGAGAGACGGATCCTTAAGTAGTTGACTCTGATTTTCCACCTCAGTCCTTCCCCGTGTACTTAATACCTGGGTTGCTAGGCTGTGGCCTCCATGAGAACAGGAACCTGGTCCCTTCCCTTCATTATGGTTTCCCAGTGCCAGGTGCATTTCTTTCAGGAAACATTCAGTAAATGAGTCAAGGACTCCAACCAGGCCTTGTGACAGACCCTGGAGCTACAGAGAAAAAAGACATGGTTCCTGCCCTTATGGGGTCTATGGACTAAGAGAAAAGCAGACCAGTAGCTCCTCCACGGTGTGATCAGCGTTGTCTTAGAAGCGGCTACATGAATGCAGAGCCCAGGCCACTGATAAGACTGAAGGAGTGGGTGGGGCAGGGAGGTCTTGGGGCTGGTGGGAGGGCAGATGCAGCTAGGGAAGGCTTCCTAAGAAGGAGGGGGATCCTGAACTGGGGGAATAAACACTAGCCATGCAGAGCAATGGGCGAAGGATGAACCTGGCAGGAGGACCCAAGTATCCCGTCCTGGAGTCTGGAGAGCCCGACTCCTACCCAACCACCAGTCCCTTGGGGTAGAAGCAGTATCACTGAGTTAAGGAGCACAAACTTTGTGTTAAATCTCACACATACTTAGCCACGTAACTGGAACATTGTAAGCCCTCAGTGATGGTGATGATGATGACAACAGTGACAGTGGCAGAAGGTTCGAATGGAGAATAGGGTGGGAAGAGGGACGAGCTGAGGGAGACAGCTGCCTGGTGAAGGAGTGGTCTTGTTGAAGAGACTTGTACCCACTGTATATTTGTCTCTTTAGTCCCAACTTTGGGCAAGGAGCTCTCTAGCCAAGGGACAGCCGCCACGCTGCCTTTGCAGGGTGATAGGTGGAGCTAATGTTTATCGAGTAGCTACTGTGCACACAGCGCAGACTTGGTGCTCTTGAAAATCCGAAAGAAATAAAGTCTTGAGCCACAGTGAGTGAATGGGCTGTTGAGGAAGACAAGACTCATGTAAGTGGAACATGTAGGGGACAGGGCGAAATGGTTTTTTGGCGAGATCAGCAGAACAGAGGTTTGATGGGCAGAGAATGTCCAGAAAGCTTCACAGAGCAACTGGGACCTGAGCCAAGCTCGAAGGGTGGAAGATACAGCTGGGGCCTGCTGGTCTCTGCCCTGAAAGCTCCCACGGTTCCTGTCACCTACAGAATAAAGTTCCCACTCTTGAGGGTTTTTTTTGTTTTTGTTTTTGTTTTAAAGAAATAGACCGTTTATTCTTCACTGGAAACATCACATGCACTTTTAAAAATTTAAACTCTTTATTTAAACATTTCAGTAGCATCTTATCAATTTGGTGGCAGCAAAAGAAGCACTACCAAAGACAAGTATTTTGAAAAGCATTTACAAAAATACCGTGCACAAAGTCCTCTTCTGCATCTTTAAAAATAAATATTCAAAATATTTCCACCCAACTCCCAAATTGTTTTATATAGGAAATTTTGATTTATATATTTATCCTGTAATATCTGAAACATCTGTATACATTTTATCCAACTTAACTGCATAGGCATTATTTAGTTCCAATTCTAAGAGTGAAAAAATGCTACTTTATGTAGTCGAGGACAGTTGCGCAGTACACATAAAACCCCAGTCCTTCAAAGAACTTGGTGGGATCTGGTCCTTCATGACCCGCATTCATGCTTTGTCCAGCCAGCAAATGTATACGGAGAGTCTGCTCGATGCCAGATATGTTCTAGGGACTGGGAATGCTGTGAGCAAAGCCCAGACTGCTTCCAGAGACCTATGGCTAATAGGGGAAACAAAGAAGGCATGCCCTTCCTTTTCATATAACTTTATTGGGGCATGATTGAAAGACAATAAACTGTACATATTGAAAGTATACAACTTGGTTGGTATTGACATTAGTATACACCTAGGAAACTGTCATAATCAAGATAATGAACATTTCTGCCGCTCCCAGAAAGTTTCCTTGTGCCCTTCTGTGACCCATCCTTTCTTCTCTCCCCATGTGCAGCAGCCACTGATCTGGAAAGTACTTTTGACGCAGTTCAACAGGTGCTGTGGTTGGGGAAGCACAGAGTGCAGGTATTGGGGGAGCCCAGGTGAACACCTAACATGGTCAGAGGTGGGAGTTGGAGAGACTTCCTGGAGTAGGTGAGGTCAGAGCTGGGATCAGAAGGCTAAGCAGCGAGACCAGGATAGCACGTGGGTACTGGAGGTTATTCAGCAGTCTGCAGTGTAAGCTTTGGTTCAAGTCCTGCCTCAGTTGCCTCCTTAGCCCTGTGACCTTAGCAAAATTCCTGAACCTTACTGATTCTTTGTTTCCTCCTCTGTAAAATGGGAAGAATACTATCTCCCTTTTAAATAGTTATAGATGAAAAATAGGCTGTGGGACATACCTACTCAGCAGCCGGCACAAGGCAGGTCTTGTTAAGTGGTGGCCTTTATTATCATCATTCCAGTGTTCTCTCCCTCCGTATCTATTTCCCACCACCCATGCAGTCTGGGCCCTTTTTTCTCATGGCCCATTTTTATGCCTTCATAATATACCATTTCTTCCATCAAAAAATCCTTCTCATTTCCAAGGCCCAGCTTAGATGCTGCTTGCCCCGGGAAGTTGTCCCTTGTCCTCCAGGTGCAGATAATCACCTTTGGCCCTCCCACAGTCCCTCTGCCAGGTTTGGGCTGTCACTTTCTCTGTTTTGTGCTCACTTACTGGCTTAGATGTGCATCTCCCCCTCCGGAGCATAGGCTCTGTGAGCATGCAGATGTTTTCTCCATGTGCCTCACCACACAACAGCGTGCCAGGAAATGTTTGTAGGAATGCAAGGATGGCCAAATCTCAGGATGTGTGTGTGTGTGTGTGTGTGTGTCTGTCTGTCTGTCTGTCAGAGTAGGAGGCGATGAGTAGCCTTGCCTAAGAAGTGACCTAAGAGATGAGGTGTCAACGGAAAGACGAGGGGAGCAGCGTGGAAACCAAGGAGATGAATTTAGGTCCTAGAGAGTAGTTTTGAACTTGTTTCAGTCAGCAGGATTCCCTTTTTCAAAAAGTTTGTCCCTGGAAGCCCACTGTATAAATTCTGATTTCAATGGGAGGGGTCCTGAAGACCCACCTGATAGGGGCCCCCGAGGAATCCTTGTGGGATCCAAAGACTCCACAGTTTGAAAACTTGCATCAGGCAGTAGGGAGGCATAGGGGGTTCTTGAGGAAACCAACCAATCAGTCATGATTTTCCTGTCCCCCTGGACTGACAGACCTGGAAGTGGGTGGATTATGGTTGATAACTGCTGATACGTTGCCCGGCCTTCCTCCTATTACCACTTCCCCCAGAGAAAGCAGCCCTTATGTAGTCAGAGGAGAAAACTGAGCTCATCATCTCTTCTTTATGGTGAACAAAGTAAGATTTGTTCATGGCAAGGTAAGGGTTGGGAGAGAGAACTTTTGATTCTAAGCTGAGACCTGCAATTACTTGATTAGCATCTTTTCTTCTTTTTAAATTTTTTTATTGTTATATTAATCCCCATACGTTACATCATTAGTTTTAGATATAGTGTTCCATGATTCATTGTTTGTGCATAACACCCAGTGCTCCATAGCATCTTTTCTTTAAAAGCAAAAAGTTACCGAGGTTTTTTCCCGATTCTAAGGATATAGCATGATACATACAGTATGATACTATTTATGTAAGAAAGGTGAAAAGAGATCTAAAATACCTTCTATGGGTATATTTTCCCATAAAAGCCTAGAGAAGGTCTGCAAGGACACTCACCTAATGGTGAGTGGTCACCCCTGGGAGGATGTGGGGACTGGGAGTGTGGTCCCAGAAGACTCACCTTCTCTGCAGGGTTGTAAGTTTTGAAAGAAAAGATGTGCATGTCTCCCTTGTATAATTACAAAATAACTTAAAAAGTAATACATGTATATGTTTTTTAAATTGGAAAATACATTCGAGTCATAATTCCCCTCTCCAAAGATAACCACTATTAGCTTTGGTATGTTAACTGCATTAGTGCATTCCCCGCCCCCCAGTCCCAGCCGTTTTTTGTTTTTTGTTTTTTTTTAACCTGGGTTAAAAATATATACTTCTTTAAAGATCCCCAAACTGATTATATATTAAATAGGTTTATGTCCTGCTTTCTCTTCCCTTGACCTTTCCCCATGTCATTAAATATCCTCCAAAACACATATTTTTTAATGCCTGCCTAGCGTTCCCTGGATGCAACCAAGCCCCCTTTGTTAGAGACACTTGGTTCTTTATGCTTAAAAACTCCTTGGAGGGTCACTGGTTGGAACAGCCAAGTGTTGTCATTGCTGTGGGTTGGCAAATGGGCCCTCGCTGACTAACCTCTGCCACGTTAACACGTGGTTTTTGGATCCGTAGCACCCCGAGCAGAAGGCAGACCGGTATTTTGTGTTATACAAACCGCCCCCTAAAGACAACATTCCCGCCCTAGTGGAGGAGTACCTGGAACGCGCCACCTTCGTAGCCAATGACCTCGACTGGCTCCTGGCCTTGCCTCACGATAAATTCTGGTGCCAGGTAACATTCTATCAAAATTAACACTAAGACAAAGCACATGACATGCCGTTGGTTGGTTGCTGTTGTTGTTTTTCTCCCCCTAGGAGATGCTTTTTTCCTACTTCTTACACTGGATCCTTAACAGCAAATTGTGGTTTGGATTGCTCTGTCCTGTATCACAATCTTAATGATGTTTACACAACGCCTTCCAGCGTGTCATTTTTAGAAACTTGTGTTTAGCCCTCGGCTCATTCATACCTCCTTAGGCCCTTGGGGTTGGAGTGTTTGCCTTAGGCCAGGGCTGGTAGGCCGTGAACCCCTGCGCAGTCCACCCACAAGCCCTTGGGCCTCAGTGACAAATCCTCGCTCTGATCTGTTGTCTGACATAGGTTATCTTCGATGAAACCCTGCAGAAGTGCCTGGACTCCTATCTGCGCTATGTACCCCGAAAGTTCGATGAGTGGGTGGCCCCGGCCCCTGAGGTTGTTGACATGCAGAAGCGCCTCCATCGAAGTGTTTTCCTCACTTTCCTCCGCATGTCCACTCACAAGGAATCCAAAGTAAGCCCCTGATCCCACAACAGGGCTCCACCCGACACCCAGCACCTCTGTGCCAGAGTCTCCCGCCCCTGGGAAGGAAGGCTCTGGAAGTATTGCGTTTCCTCTTTGTCTCCCCTCTGCCTTCATTCCCACCTTTGGGGAAGCAATCTGTGGCCACCCCCTTATCTGTGAATTCACTGGGTCTGCATTACATCCAGTGTTTTCATCAATGGGAGCTGAGGGCCCTTTGCCAGGTGACGCGTGACTCTGCCTTTTTTCATGCGTCAGAGGGTGAAAACATTGATTCTGATTTGTTAAAGGAACTTTTATGTGCTTTTTAAAAACCTTTGCTTTTCTCCCCCTGGTTTTAAAAATAACGCTGTCTTTAAACAACTCAAACATGACAGAAATATTTTGTAGATAGTAAAAGTCGCCACAAAATCCCTTTCCCCAAAAATAACCACCATTATGGTGCATGTTCCTTCAGGGAATTTTTTTCCTTTCAGTATATTTGTGTGTGTGAGTGCATATTTATTTTTACAATAGGATCTTGCTTTTCTTTTTTTAACTTCTGTAGTATGGAAATTTTCAAATATATGCAAAAGCATAATGAATCCCATGTACCTATCACCCAGCTTCAACAATTATCATTATTTTGCCAATCTTATTTTCTTTCTTCCCGAGTTTTTTTCCCCTAGAGTATTTTTTCCCCCAGAGTATCTTTTTTTTTTCTTTTGAGGGCGAGAGAGCGAGCATGAGCGTGTGAGTGAGTGCAGGGGAGGCAGAGGGGGAGGGCAGAGGGAGAGGGAAAGCGAGAATCTTAAGCAGGCTCCACACCCAGCACAGAGCCCAACACGGGGCTCAGTCTCACAACCCTGAGATCATGACCTGAGCCAAAATCAAGGGTTGGGCACTTAGCTGACTGAGCCACCCAGGTACCCCTTTTATTTTATTTTATTTTATTTTATTTTAAGGATTTTACTTATTTATTTGATAGAGAGACAGCGAGAGAGGGAACACAAACAGGGGGAATGGGAGAGGGAAAAGCAGGCTTCCTGTGGAGCAGGGAGCCCAATGCAGGGCTCGATCCCAGGACCCTGGGATCATGACCTGAGCCAAAGGCAGACGCTTAACCGACTGAGCCACCCAGGCGCCCCTTTCCTGGAGTATTTTAAAGCAATTCCAAATATCACAGTAATTTACCCATAAATATTTTTATTTATTTATTTATTTTTTAAGTAAGCTCTTTGCCCAATGTGGGCTTGAACTCAAGACCCCAGGATCAGGAGTTGCATGCTCTGCTGCCTGAGCCAGCTAGGCGCCCCAACCCACAAGTATTTTAGAATGAATGCCCAACCGACTATTTAATAGCATATGTTTGCTTCTTTTTACATTAAAATGAAGAATAGCTATTGCTCCAGGTCAATATATGAGGCTCAGACATGTCCACAGTGTGGATGGACCTTCATTTATCAGCCAATCCCCCGTTGTTCTTGTGAGTTTGCTATTACTTTACCAAGAGTATGCTTTCAGAAAGTTTCTCATCCTCTTTCTCTGCACTGTTTCTTAGGATCACTTCATTTCCCCCTCTGCATTTGGAGAAATCCTCTACAATAACTTCCTGTTTGACATCCCAAAGATCCTGGACCTCTGCGTGCTCTTTGGAAAAGGCAACTCGCCTTTGCTCCAGAAGATGATAGGTACGTAGGGCACAGGGCCTGGAGGGCTGCACAGAGCTGGCCCCCACATGCCAAACTAGAGCACCTAGATGAGCGCAGGGGGATTCAGAACTGCAGTGGCGGATGGGGCTTGGGCGTAACTTCGCAGATATATGCATGTCAACTCCGAAAGACGCAACTAGGTGGCCCTGGGGGAGTAGAGACAACACTTGACCCCTCGGTCCCTCCAGGATCTTAGTATTAGGCCACATGTCAAACAGTTGAAGGAGTGGGGAGGCTTGCTTTGGTGGTGAGAGTAGGAACAGCAGTGATTGCTAACCTTTGGGTGAGTGCTCACTGGGGGCCCGGCACTCTGCCGAGCTCCTTGTATGTGATCTTAAATTGATCCTCACAGCAGCCGTGGAATGTGACTCTGTAATCATCCCTATTTACAGACAAGGAAACTAAGGTTAAAATGTAAGGGACTTGCCTGAGAGCCCATGACTAATAAGTGGCCAAGCTGGGATTTATGTCACATAAGCCTGACTCTCGAGCTCTTCCTCTTTGTCACTCCCTGCTTCAGGGATAATGGGACTGCCTCAAAAGTCTCATGGTTTGCATTGTTGCTGAGAACAGTTGGAGGCCGAGTTCAGTGAGGACTCTTCTGGGTCGAGAAAGGAATGACTTCAGCAGTTGGATCCCATCAGGAGGCAGTGGGCTGGAGGGTTCGATCAGAGACTGAAGCTTGGTTGAGATGCTGCAGAGGGAACAACGCCCCAGCATTGGGCGGGACACAGAGACAGGACACCACTGTCAGCCCTCCTCACCCTGAGATTATAGGACATAGTCTTCCCAAATGCCCAGTTACAAAGCTAAGTTGTCCCTTGAAATGCTTTCCTTCCTTCCTCCTAATAAAAAAGGTGATATAAGTTAATTTAGAAAGTTTGGAGAGAATATGAAGTGTAAAGAAGCAGGAAAGCAATTACCAAATTCCTGCACACACAGGCAACCATTTGGTGATTATTTCCTTCCAGTCTTTTCTCTGCGTGTTTTTGAAAAACATGTCAGAGCATAACGTATATGAAATTTCACATCCAGCCTTTTCATTGGAACGGTGTCTGGTTTCTCATTCAAATCTAATTATTCCCTAATCATCAGTTCATTTCTTTTACTTTCCCAGAGAAAGACTCTTCATAATGTTATTGTAGACTGAGGGCATGGGGTAAGTGAGCAAAACCAAGCATGGTCAGTTAGAGAAACAGTTATTAGGCCAGTTTGGTTAGAGTGGAGCATTCTAGGAGGGCAGCAGCAGGAGATGGGGAAGGGGATGCTGGGGCCAGATCAGGGAGGGCTCCGTGCCAACCATTAGCACTTGGGGAGCAGTATCGCTTGGTGGCTCAGAAGGCAGGCTCTGCCCAATTCACACTGCAGCCCTGTTCCTGGCTGTGTTACTTTGTCCAAGTCAGCCACTCTAGCCTCAGTTTTCATATCTGTAGAATGGGAAGACTAATGCTATACCTACCTCATAGGATGGTTGTGAGGATTAGCACAGTGCCTGGCTCGTTACAAGTGCCTGGCTCGTTACAAGTGCCTGGCTCGTTACAAGCGCCTGGTGATTGTGAGCTCTTACATGAGGCCATGGGAGCTGCAAGGAGGAGCTGTCTGGGGTGTCAAGGTTAATTTGGCAGCATGCCGGTGGGAAGGGTGGTGACAGGAGACCGACGAGGCCAGTGCTTCAGTGTGGGTTTGAAGGTGAGAACCTGGTTGGGCTGAAGAGGACATCCTAGAGGCAGAATAAAGCAGGGCTTGGGGAGGTCAGCTGGAGGGAGAAGTCAACAATTCTAGAGAAGACTTGTGTCGGGTGCAGGAAAGGGGCCTTTTGGGCAGGGTGGGGGCAGCCTCCACTGTCCCTACCACAGAAGCTCTTGAGCAAAGCAGCTGTAGTAAGAGTGTTGACAAGGGAGAGAAGGAGGGAACAAGGGGACTGGCCGATTGTCCTTTGGGCAGAAGCCCAGTCCTTACCTGGCACCCTCCCACCCCCGTCAACCTTCCCGCACAAACACACCTTACTTTTTTTTAACCTCGAGATTGGTATTCCGGATCAGTAAGTGTAATTTTGAAAGCAGGGCCTTTCAGTTAGACTTTTGGAGCTGCTTTGTGAAAGCAGGAGTACGTCAGGCCTTGGCCCCCTCGAGGACTGCACTGATCTCTTTGGCAGTCCCTTCCCTTCACCCTGGGTCTCTGAACTGCTTTAGTCTGAGAAGGATGCCGCTGTTGTGCCTTGCTTCTTAATTGTTTCTTTAAGAGATCGAAAGTCAGATCTTCACTATCACTGGATCAGATAAAGGAGAGGAAAGGGTCAGTTGTGAAATGTTATCTGTTCTGATGCTTGTAAAACATCCCTGTTACTCAGGCATAAGCACTAGAAGGATTATGAAAGAGTGCCCTACCCCAGGGCCAGGTGGTTAGGGCACAGTGGGGTCTGCTGTATGGTACTGGGGGAGACCGGCTCCTGATGCCTGAGTCAGGAGGCACTGCCTGGAGAAGGTGACACCTGCCTTATGGTGGACTTAGCTCTGGGAGGTCACTCCAGGCAGAGGGAGGGGACAGGGCTTGTTCTCTGAGGTTGAGGAGGTACAGGAGAGGAATGCAGCCCAGGAAATAGGGAGAGGGTGGCTGGAGATGCTATCCGGGCCAGATCTCACATGGCCCTCTGTGCTGTGGTCAGGAGTTCAGACTTGACCTTGAGGATAACCATCAGATGGGAGTTTTGTGAGAAAGAACAGAGGTTGGTGGGGAGATAGCTCAGTCCCTCCTTGCTGTCAAGAGTAGGAGGCGGGCACAGATGGCCAGGGAGTACCTTCACAGGTTGAGGGATCAGCACCCATCTGGAGGTGGGAGGCACTGAGCAAGCTCGTGCTGGGAAAACTCCACTTTCTGGAGTCAGGGAAAGAAGTGGCATCCAAGAAAGTGTTTACAGGAAGTCCGGCTACATAGTGACTTGCTTTCTCACTTGCTTTCTGTCCCATTTGGCCTTTGATTTCATTGATTTTCAAATCTTTTGGGATGGGACAAGGGCTCCCCTTGATTTTCATTAAGGAAACCAAGGACAGACCTACCCAAAGACAAAGGACACCTGCAATTCAGCAGAGCCTGACAGTCAGCCACCCTTAGACATTAGGATCGTAGTGGGCTGAAGAACCCTGGCCTCTTCTTAAGGGTGTTGGTATTTCACATCATCATGTCTCCTGGCTAGCTATGATTTTCCCTTCCTCCCTTGCCATTTGGGCAGCCGGAACACTTGGTTTCTGTTCCAGTTAACATATGCTCTAACCTACCGGCTCACAGCAGCAGCATTGCTTGGAGGTAGTAAACATTCGGAAAGGAGCTTTGTTTTATAGGAACAACTGCAAATGTGTGGTAAACCTGTCTCTGGGTCCCTCCCAGGCCTCTCCCCTTGGAGGAGGATGGATTAATATGGCTAGCATATTCAAAGCAGATGATAAGAGAATTTCCAGACAAATTTCTCCCTAGAGTCTCCTCACATTATTAGAGGCGTGGCCTGGCAAGAATCCTGGATTGTAGCATCCAGGTTTCTTGAGCAAGGAGATTGTATCTCCTGATTTTCCTGGATGACTAACTCCCACTTCCAAAGCCAATGCTGTCATACGAGGCACGGTGCCCAAGTATGATCACTCCTTGGGGACATCAGGGTGAGCTGGTTTGACCAGGCAGGCCTTCTTTTTTTTTTTTTAAGATTTTTTTTTTTTTTTTTTTTTAATTTGAGAAAGAGAGAGAACACGAGCAGGGGCAGAAGCAGAGGGAGAAGCAGACTCTCTACTGAGCAGGGAGCCCGATATGGGGCTTGATCCAAGGACCCTGGGATCATGACCTGAGCCAAAGACAGACACTTAACCGACTGAGCCACCCACATGCTCCCAGGGCAGGCCTTTTATGTAATTCTCTAGGCAGAGGTGCTTAAAAGGTTAAATTGTACTGAGTAAAGTCCTCCCTCATGCTGGAGAAGTTTCTAGGCTAGGCCAAAGTTCTGTGCCAGCAGGGCCTGGGGCCAGGACTGCTCTGGTGCAGACAGGCTTCGGAAAGGGGAGAAAGGTCACAGAACATGCTGGCAACCATTTGTGATGTGTCCTTCCCTCCCCCACCCTCTTTTCCCAATTCCTACCTTTCTCTTCTCTTTTCAGGAAACATCTTTACCCAGCAGCCAAGTTACTATAATGACCTGGATGAAACCATGCCCACCATCCTTCAGGTACCAGCTCTCAGCCCTGCCCAGATCCCCTCCCCAACCTGATAGTATGTCCCTGGACTTTCTTGGAAGAGAATTCACCCTTTTCCCCACTTGAACAGAACTGAAATACAAGGGCTGTCTATCACTCATACAAAAAGAGCTTAAATTGTGTGCTGTTTGCCAACAGCCATAGGCCTCTAAGGATACCCCTCTAAGAGACCGGTGTTTCTCAAATAAGAGCTTTAAAATTCTATAAAACTGTTTTAGAATATAATAGCATTCATTGCAGAAAATTTGGAAAACATAAACAAAAAATAAAAAATGGAAAGAGGAAAATTAACCCATCATCCTACCACCAAGAGATTCTACTATTCACGATAACAGTTAGGGTAGTTTCATGCTAGCATACTTAAAGATGGTGCAATGAGTTCAAGACTTACATGATTTTACGATGGGCCCTGTTTTCTTCTCACTGTTGATTTGTCTTTGATTTCAATGTATTTCCATAAATCGCCATCTCCATAGAATCCAAAACATACATTGTTGAATGTATATCTTAAATATTCATTACCATACACTTGCCCAGCATATTCATTCGGATAATTTCTACAGGCTTCTGGGGGCTTTTCATACATTTTGTCTTTTTTTTTTTTTTTAAGTTTTATTTAAGTAACCTCTACACCCATCGTGGGGCTCGAACTCACGAACCTGAGATCAAGAGCCGCACGCTCTTCCGACTGAGCCAGCCAGGTGCCCCTTTACATTTTGTCTTTTTAATCCTCACCACAATCCTGTAAGAAGAATAACCCCCATCATCCCCATTTTACAGTTTTCACTTTGACCCCATGCCCTGTTGTTGTCTTAGCTGGTTTCTTGGGAACACAGGCACATACTTGAAAGATTCCAAGGCAGCTTTCAGATCACCCATCCCCGATTGCAGGTCAGGGGTCCTAGCTGCTGTTTCGACAGGATGTGGGAGAACCCCTTCTTGTGTTTCACAGGTTTTCAGCAATATCCTCCAGCACTGTGGTTTGCAAGGGGACGGGGCCAGTGCCACACCCCAGAAACTCGAGGAGAGGGGCCGGTTGACCCCCAGCGACATGCCTCTCTTGGTGAGGTTGCCCTTCAGCCCAGCCTCTTCTTGGCTAGCAGAGGACCCGACAGCTTCTTCCCCTGCTTGTGGCCGTTTTCCCCAACCCCGGAAGCAGCTATTCCCATCACACAGGCTTAGAGCATTTCAGCAGGCTTTTTATTTTTCTCTGGGAGCTTCCTTTATGGGGCAGTGGAAAGAACAGAGCCCTAGAGTTCAGACGATGGGGGTTCAGTCTTCACGTAGCTCAGCACAATGAGCTCATTCGTGTTACTCACTGAGCCCTGTGTTCGGTAGACAAATTTGTACTGAGGAGGCTCCAGTGTGTGCTGAGCCTTCAGGGTAAAGCAGCAGGGCAAAAGCAGAAATGGGACTTACAGTAGGTAAGAGAGGTAAATAAGGACCATAGACATGTGTCAGGCCTTATGCTGAGCACTGGAGATAGAGCAGGAAAGAGGCAGCTGTCAGCTGCCCTCTTGGAACTTGCAATCTTGTGGGAAAACGGGCATTAAGCAGGTGTTTCAGAAAGAGGCATACCAAGTTCTGTGGGAACAAGTCATTTTACCTGCCTGAACCTCAGTTTCCTAATCTGTACCACAGAGATCTGAACAGCTGCTCAGCCTACTTTTTAGAGTTGTCAAGAGACTCCAGAACGTGTATAAGAAAGCACTCCGTGTTCTGTGTGGACTTGATATTCTTGTCCTCAATGGGATGTTCCTTCTGTGTAGGACCATAGTCATTGTCTTTAGGTTCAGGGGTTGGTTCTCCTTCAGCTTAGAAGCGAGAACTGTATTATCCTAGAACTAGAAGTAACCCCAGAGATCATTGGGTGGGTGCCCATTAGAGCTACGATAGCAAGACCTGAGGTAGGGAGATTGAGGAACTGGTCCAGATCGTGCTCCTAGAGATGGACCAGCCAGGCTTCACACAGACGTCCAGTGATCTCTTCCCCCGACAAGGCATCTGCCTGTTGGCTCCCACTGGTTTTGTCAACCTTATCTCATACCCACCACAGAGCTGTGTATGGGGGCAGAGGAGAATAATGCAATGTTTTCTTTTGGCAACAGGAATTAAAAGACATTGTTCTCTACCTTTGTGATACCTGCACTACGCTCTGGGCCTTTCTGGATATCTTCCCCTTGGCTTGCCAAACTTTCCAGAAACACGACTTCTGTTACAGGTACAGCAGTAATTCTGACTGCTAAAGTAGAGGTTCTAGTTGACATCCTCATTCAGCAGATATTGCTGGGTACTTAGAATGTGCCAGGCGCTCTTTTAGCCTGGGGATACAGTAGTGAGGAAGACAGGTAAGGCTCCTGCTTATGTGGAACCTGCATTTTATCTTTTTTTTTTTTTTTTAAGATTTTTAAAAATTTATTTGAGAGAGAGAGCAAGAGCAAGCATGAACGGGGGGAAGGAGCAGAGGGAGAGGGAGAAGCAGACTCCCTGCTGAGCAAGGAGCCCAATGTGGAACTCGATCCCAGCACCCTGGGATCATGATCTGAGCCAAAGGCAGATGCTTAACAACTGAGCCACCCAGGCACCCTGGAACCTGCATTTTAGAAGTATTCCCATTTTTGGTTAAGAACTAGGTAAGGGAGGGAAAAAACCCACCAACCAAGTTTTAGTTCAGTTCCATTGTTTCAAAGCCCCTCTCATTGGCAGGCACAAAGGCGTAACAGATCATAAGAAGTGGTCTGAGGACTTCAGCATCTGGTCTAGAGCAGAGCACACTCAAGGAAACAAGCAGATATGCTCACATGTGGGGTCAGCTGCTGTGGCCATATCATAAAGCACTCCAGGAACACAGAGGAGGGAGGCAAAATTCTGTCTGGTGAAGTAAGAGGTTTCCTGATGGCCCTTAAGTGAGAATGGACAGGAACCTTCCAGACAAAAGGATTACAGTGGCAGGAAGGGCATTCCAGGCAGGCAGAGTGAAGGTGGGAAGGCCCAGAGGGTGTCAAGGGAGAGCCAGGGAGTGGAGTGGGATGAGGCAGGGCCCAGAGCAGCAGGAAAAGGAGCAGCTAACAAGAGACGCTCTGGAGAGGTCAGTAGGAGCCAGATTGTGAGGAGCCCTGACCTCGCTGGCAGGGAGTGGGGCCTTTATTCTGTAGGCAATAGAGAGCCACTGGGAGTTTTTATCCAAAGGAGTTATAGAAAGATCCTGCCAGGATGAGGAAAGACGTAGAGAAGGATATGAGTAAAGAAAGATATAGGGAGGGAGACCCTCCTTGCCCACTTAGTATCATGAGTATCTGTCTATTCCTTGTGCAGTGAGAAAGGGGTGCTTGGGCCTAGGCTGGTAACCACCATGTTGCCTGGCAGCAGCAGGGGTGGAGGCTGGCCTGTTCTCAGTGGCCTCTGGCTGTCGCTCTTGCCAGACATCTCTCCCCACTATTTGCAGGAGCTCCTGGGAGCTGCCCAACTCTGTGCACTCAGCCACCAGTCCATTCATTTACTCACCCATTCACCAAAACATGTATCTAGCACCGACCTCTGTCAGAGGTGGCACCTGGCACTCTGACCCCTCCTGGGTCTCCTCAGCTCGAGAACATTGCATGTGAGGACTGATCAGCCTCCCAGAGGATGTTAGAATAAAGCGCCAATCAGCACTCTGCCTGGAAGAAAGGGGTTAGGATGGGCCTGTAGCTGTAGTTGTCCCCTTTTTGAAAAGGTATCTTTTCTCATGGTTAAAGTGGCAAATGCTCATAGGAAATTTGGAAAATCCCAAAGGTAGAAAATTAAAATCACTATGAGAGATCATGCTATTCTTAGGATTTTGTATCCTGCTTATCTTCACGTACCATAGGCATTTTCTTTTCTTTTTTTTTTTTTTTTTAAGTAAACTGCCCCCAACGTGGGGTTCAAACTCACAACCCCGCGATCAAGAGTCACATGCTCTACCAACTGAGCCAGCCAGGCGCCCCCATAGGCATTTTCCCATTTTGTTAAAGCATCTTCCCAAACGTGGCAGATTGCTTTTGAAAGGGTCTTTGGAAACAGAGGGTAATTTTTGGAAGAACTGACTTTCCTGCAAGGGACAATGAAGGCAGGGGAGCAGCTCCACCCGTCTCAGGGTGAGGAGGGAGGAAGAAAGGAAAACAGGGTTGACTACCAATGACACTGCCTTTGACACACAAACAATCCAGGGGTGGCCCAGCCTTTTCACACTGTGCGGGAGGCCAGGAACGCCCGCTGAGTAAATGCAGCCACCTCAGTGCCCGCAACTTTCTGGAAGGGGCTACAGCCACCAAATAGCTCTGTGGCTAGTCCTCTCAGAACAACCTCCTTCTTCCCAGACATCCTCAAGTGTATCTGAGTATCTCTCTCTGTCACTTAATTTTATGAAAGAATAATACATTCACATGGTTTAAAACTCAAAAGGTGTAAAATATATAATGAGGGGCACCTGGCTGGCTCAGTCGGTAGAGCATGCAGCTCTTGATCTCTGGATCATGAGTTCAAGCCCCACATTTGGCGTAGAGCTTACTTAAAATAAATAAAACAAATAATAATAATAATAAATATATATGTATGTATAAAATGCAGTCTACCTCTTCCCCTTCCCCAGTCCCATTCTCACACATCACCATTGTTGTTAGGGTTTTTTTGTGGAGCTTTCCAGAGATATGCATATAAATATAAGCAAGTGTGCACATTACATATCACCCCCTCTGCCTTTTTTTTTTTTAAGATTTTACTTATTTTTATTTTTTAAAGATTTTATTTATTTATTTGACAGAGAGAGACACAAAGAGAGGGGGAACACAAGCAGGCGGAATGTGAGAGGGAGAAGCAGGCTTCCCATGGAACAGGGAGCCCGATGTAGGGCTCGATCCCAGGACCCTGGGATCATGACCTGAGCCGAAAGCAGATGCTTAACGACTGAGCCACCCAGGCACCCCAAGATTTTATTTATTTTTAGAGAGGGAGAGCACAAGCATGGGGAGGGGCAGAGGGAGAGAGAGTCTCAAGGACACTCCCTGCTGGGCGCAGAGTCCGACGTGGGGCTCAACCCCACGTTCCTGCGAACGTGACCTGAGCTGAAACCAAGAGTCAGATGCTTAACCGACTGAGCCACCCAGGCATCCACCCCCACCCCCTGCCTTTTAAATTAAGGGCTGACATGAATACTCTATGTATTGTTTGTATTTTATTTAATTAAATAATTTATTTGTTAAACAACAGAAATTTATTTCTCATAGTTCCAGAGGCTGGGTGCATTTTATTTTTAAATTTAAAGTGTATCAGTACACAAAGCAACCTCAATCTTTGGTACGGCTAGATAGAATTCCATTGTACTGTGTTAGAATACCAGACCCCATAGATCGACCTTTAGATTTTTTTTCAGTTGTTTGCTATTACAGAAAAGTGTTACAAAGAAAAACTGTACATATATCATTTTGCACCTTTGCAAGTACATCTGAGAAATAGATTCCTAGAAGTAGAATCACAAGAACAGATGGTTTGTGCATTTTAAATTGTCATAGATCTCACCAAATCACCCTCCATAGGGGTTGTTCCAATTTACCCTCCCACCAGCAGTGTATCCTGGCAACACCTGAATCAGTTTGGGCCAAACTGCCCCCTCTGTCTTTTTCTGGGTGTCATGCTGTGGGCCTAGAAAGCCTGCCTCTTTGGGCCTAGTTACCCTCTGCTGTGTGTGGGACTACACCAGCGTAGAAGTTGCCAGAATCCAGCCAGTCGATAGTGAAGTGTTCACAGAGTATCTGCTACAAATTCAGCAGCAGTCCTAGGCCCTGAGGCTGCAGTTCCGGCTGTGGGAGGTGTAAGACATTCAGAGGAAGAATCTGACCACAGAAGAGAGGCAGCTACATTTTAAGTTGTAAGGGTAACATACTCTGAGTGCTACGCACCTAGTTCCAGGAAGAAGTCATCACGTGGTGAGCATCACCAGGAAGCGTGCGACTGGGACGGAGAGTTGGAATCTGAGTTGGGAAGGGGGTGGCTGTGAGGTTGCTGAGGTGAGAAGCAGAGTCAGCTACTCCATGCCAGCTGTGGATGAACCAGAGAGAGGAGTTACAGTTTGATGTCACAGGAGGTAGGGAACTGCTGGCGGGTCTGAGCAAACAGAAAGAGCAACCTTGTTTGTTTCTCAAACCTCAGTGAGTTCTGAGTAGCCCTCTCATTGCTCTGTGAGAAGGAGCCTGTCTGGGCCTCGGTTTCCCAAGTGAAACAGGGATGTGGCTACAAGTCACTTCTCACGAGGCTCTTCCAGCCACAGCGGACCCAGTCTGGGGTGAGCTTGGGGAAGAGCTGGGGTGGTTCCGGGAGCAAATTGCTGTGGTGACAACTTGGGAGCAAGAAATGGGCCTTCCCCCTTCCCATGAGTTGCTGTTGATTTTCTGATGAAGTGTGGTCTTTATGAACTAATCCCACCTTCTCCCCATGCGCGCCTCCACAGACTAGCTTCCTTTTATGAAATCGCAATTCCTGAACTGGAGTCTGCAATGAAGAAGAGGAGGCTTGAAGATAGCAAGTGAGCAGGGGACAAAACTAAGTGCCTTGTCATGGGGGAGGGAGAGGCCCTGCCTTCCCCGGGCTTCAGCGTCCCCATCTCTTAAGAACGAGGTGGTGGCCCCATGGAGTGTCCCTGCCTAGCAGCCTCCCGGCCCCTGCATCCTAGCCTTTACCCCTCAGCTGTTGCTCCAAGCTCTTGTTAGTCCGCTCGCCGGTTTCCCACCCACTGTTCTGTTTTTTGGGTTTTTTTAAGATTGTATTATTATTTATTTATTTGACAGAGAGGGACACAGCGAGAGAGGGAACACAAGCAGGGGGAGTGGGAGAGGGAGAAGCAGGCTTTCAGCTGAGCAGGGAGCCCAACATGGGGCTCAATCCCAGGACCCTGGGATCATGACCCAAGCCGAAGGCAGACGCCCAACAACTGATCCACCCAGGCACACCTCACACCCACTGTTTAAACAAGAAGCGGCCCTGGAATCAGCTAGCCTCTCAGGGCCTGTAGCCTTTTTGCCTGCTTCACTGCTATATCCGCAGTGAATTGTGACGCTTTCTGAGCCCTGGGGAGGGGCACCTGCAACTGTTGAGAATAAGCTCCCTCTGGGCCTTTTTATCTCCTAAATCTTGTTTTTTTTCCTCTCTCTCTCTGGCCTTCAAAGGCTGCTAGGTGACCTGTGGCAGAGGCTGTCTCATTCCAGGAAGAAGCTACTGGAGATTTTTCACATCCTCATAAACCAGATCTGCCTTCTCCCTGTCCTGGAAAGCAGGTGAGCCCTTGGGAGCAGCTGCCTGGGTGGAAGAACCCCCTCCCCAAGCCCAGCAGAGGCGTTCCCCTCACTTCATCTGCCCCCTTCCCTGTTGAGCAGAGATGGGAAAAAGAGACACATGCCTCTTTCCTGTAACTGGCCTGAGGCCTTGTAGAGGAGCAGGCCGGGGGAGGCAGGGTGGGGAGCTACAGATCATTTGCATCGAGTGAGCTCATCTTCCCTGGTGTCCTGTTCCAGCTGTGACAACATTCAGGGCTTCATTGAAGAGTTCCTTCAGATCTTCAGCTCCTTACTGCAGGAGAAGAGGTGAGTGTGGCTGAGCTGGGATCAGTTTGCACGAGGCCTTACATACTAGAGCCTCTCCCATATGCTCACCATGGTCTAAGGTTCTGGGATTTGTGGTTGGGCAGCAGCCCAGCGCCCCTGTTGCCCCAGCCTTGTCCCTTCCATCTGCTCTCTGCCCAGCAGGTTCCTCCGGGACTACGACACACTCTTCCCTGTGGCTGATGATGTCAGCTTGCTACAGCAGGCCTCCGCAGTCTTGTATCCTTCCACAGCCACTGGGACAGGACCTGCCCTGACCAGGTTGGAGATGGGCTGGTAGGACCCAGAGGAGCAGAGGGAAGTTTAGCTCCAGAACCCACGGGTCAGCCAGCTTTCCCCAGAGCGTCTGCCAGAGCCCCAGTCCCTGTTTCTGGAGGAGATGACTGACTACTCTGATCCTCAGAACTGGGTGGGGTAGGAGTCCTGCGTTCTGTAGGTATTTCCTGAGTGTCTAGGCCTGTGTGACCAACATGGACTCAGCCCTGCTCTCACAGACCTCATTGCAGGAGGGGAAACAGACAAGTAAACAAGCACGCTCAGGGTAAGGCTATGAGACAGAAGTGATATCCAAGCTGAGAACAGCAGAAGAAAGTGGAGGAGGCCAAGCCCAGAGCTAAGTGTTCCCAGTGGATGGAGGACAGAGAGGCCCATGTGGGGAGCCCACAGACATTTTGTGTAGATCAGGGGGGCAGGGGCTGGGGGACTGGGGGGCCAGGGTCTAGTGGGAGGAGGCTATGGCATGGCAGATGAGCTGGGGCTGAGCAGACCTGCATGGCCCTGGGATGACACTCACTGAGTTTGGACTCTGTCCTACTGGGGTGTCATGGAAAGGTATGAAACAGGGAGTAACAGCGTCAGTTTTGTACTTTGGAAAAGCCCTGTCTGGCACAGGGAGGAGAACAGACTGGTCTGGGACCTCTTTGAGAGGCCCAGGGGCTGGTGAGGATGCTGTGGCTGGCATCCAGGCATGGCCAATGGGGGTGTGGATTAGAAGGGGAGGGACGGCGTCTAGGGCAACTCCCAGATGTCCGGCTTGACAGTGCCCGGGGTGGTAGAGAGGGAGGAAGGACAGGGAGGAGGGCCTGTGGGCCATTTTGGAGGCTGGGCTGGGTTGCTCAGTCTCGCCTCAGGGATACCCTCGGGGCCCTCAGCCTTTGCAGGAAGCCCTCAGCTAGTTGGACAGGAAGCCTGGTGGCAGTACCCCCATCAGGCCCTCCTCCTGGGGGTCAGTACAGAGGAGGAGCTGCTGGCTCATCCAGATATCATGCCCAGGATGCCCCTGGCCCTGTCTTCATCCAGAGCTGCTTTCTGCTGAGTGGCAGGTAACTAGGTTTCAAGGCCACTGTGGTCGTGGTCTGGCCTATTTCCCCACGCAGCCCGGGTGCCCATCATGCCCGCTGGGTACAACCCAGATAGCCCCTAACACAAGTCATAGGGTCAGATGCCAGGGAGGGATTGAGAAATGATGCTGCCTCAGAGCGAGGGAGGCAGAAAAGGCCCTGGCACCCAAGAGACAGACTCCTTAACACATGTCACAGGGACGAGACACGGACTGCCTACATCCTCCAGGCGGTCGAGAGCGCGTGGGAAGGGGTGGACCGACGGAAAGCCACAGATGCTAAAGACCCACCGGTGGCCGAGGATCCTAATGGGGTCACTGTGTTGGCGGAGCCAGTCGGTGGACCATCCTCACATCCAGAAAACTCAGAGGAAGAGGAGGTGTGTGTTTGGAGTGGCGTTTTCCCCTGCTTCCCCTGCCCCTTGCGGGAAACCTCTCCCTTCTTGGTTTCTGCTCTCAGAGAAAAAGGTTTCTTTTGGAATGGACAGCCTCGAGCTGCCTTTAGAGAGTCCTGCAAGTCGCGTCAGCTGCCAGAACCCCAGTTTCTCTCCTATAAAATGAGGTGCTGGAGCTTTTTCCCATGAAATCTTTCCTGGAGCTCTCCTCTAAGCAGATCACCGTGGCGCTGCTTGGGCCGCAGCAGAGAGCAGCGCCTGGTCTCACTGCCTGGCCAGCCTGGATGCCCCGCCATGGGACTGCAGGGCTCCACTGAGCGAGTTTGGAAGCCCCTGATCTAGTACTTTCTCTCCAGGCTTTTCCAGAACTCGCCCAGTCTGCAGCTGTACCGACTGGCCCCTGAGCCCAGGACTCTTCCTTGCATGTTGGGAGGCAGCATGACGTAGGGATTAAGGCCACCCAGTCTCTGGGGTCAGACAGCTCAGGGGTGTACCCGGCTTCCTGCCACTCACCAACTGTGTGGCCATCACTCCCCTCTAGCCTCTGTTCCCCATTTATAAGTGGGGACAATCACCATCCCTGCCTCCACAAGTTTGTTGGGATTCCCAGAGCGGTTGTGTGGAGGGCCCCGAGCCCAGCTGGCCCTCTGTGCTCTGTTAACAGATGCTACTTTCTTTCCTGTTAGACTTAGGCCCATGACTGCCACAGGGCCTTGGAAAATGACAGTCCTCTCCACCTTTCCCACCCTCTTCCCCATTTGGCTTCTTAGCTGAGACATGGATGATTTTTATTGTTGTTTGTTTGATTTGCGAATTTTCTTAAATGAGAAACCTAACAGAATTCAGTCACATTGAGGAGGATATGAACTGAATCCCCCTTCTTAAAAAGAATATAATCAGAGGGGAGCAGCTTCCCACAGTCCAAGGCTGGTGATTGCTGTTCTTCTCCAATGTCAGCCATCAACTTGTTAGAGCCGGATAAGAATGAGTAGAAGCCACGGCCATTTCTGGAGTGCCTGTTCTTCTCCGGGCACTGTGCTCAGTGCTTTGGGTGCATGATTCTCTCTGAGCCATCTGAAACAACCCCATGAAGTGGATGGTAGTGTGCCTGTTTTGTATGGAAGAAGCTAGGGTTCAGAGAGGGAAAGTGCCCTGCCCAAAGTCACACAGCCAGAAGTAGCTCTCCCAGTAAGTCACAGAACCCCCCTTTTCCCAGGGGAGGAAATGAAGACTTAAGAGGCCTGAGTCACTTGGCTGAGATCCTCGGCCCAGGAGTGGCAGGCCAGGACTCATACCAGGTCCCCTGATTCCCAGTCCTGTGTGTGTCAGGGCCTATGGCCCTCTCACCCACCTGGCCCGGTCTTCCCTGCCTTTACTCCAGCTCTCTCCGCAGTGCATGGGGGCGGCAGCCACCCTGGGCCCCCCCGTGTGTGGCGTGGAGCTGGACTCGCTCATCTCCCAAGTGAAGGACCTGCTGCCAGACCTCGGAGAGGGCTTCATCCTGGCCTGCCTGGAGCACTACACCTATAACCCGGAGCAGGTGATCAACAACATCCTGGAGGAGCGGCTGGCCCCGGCCCTCAGCCAGCTGGACCGCAGCCTAGACAGGTGGGAGAGACAGGTGGGAGGTGGCTCACGGCGCCCATGCGGTGTCAGGGCCCTGGCCGGAGGCACTCTGGGGGCCTTGTCCCAGGCCCCTTCTTAGCTCCTCTGCTTCCCGCTCCTGTGCCAGAACTCAGCCCTCTGTCTCTTCCCCACGGTAGCCTTCGCCAACCGTATAAATGAATGGCCGCCTTGGGAAAACATCAGAACTTGAGGCCCCCAGGAGGTCCTCACATGCCCCCTGCAGGGCGGAGAGTGTGCATAGCTGGATGGCTCTGCCACACCTTGCTGGAGGACCGATTGGAAACGTGGCATGTGACAGAGGGGTTGCTGAGCCTTTCAGAGCTCCGAAGTTTCCGGCCTGCCCCTGTCATTGTCACCCTTCCAGTAGATTCCTGAGGGAGGACGGCCAGAGCTTCTCACTTTCCTCACACCTACCTTTCAGAGTTTGGCCCACTGCTTCTCTGAAGGCCCACGGGCCCGTGGGAATGGATGCACGAATGTGCATAAACAGATGGTGTTTATTGAATGAATGAACTTAGCTCTGTCTTTGGACAAGTTCCTTAGCCACTTTGTGCCCATTTTACAGAGGAGGGCACTGAGGCACAGAAAGGTTGAGTGATGTTAGCAACCCATCTCATCAGACTGTTGTGAGTGTTCGGTGAGGGAGGGAACTTTTAAGAAAATCTGTGTGAACGGCACGTGGGACCAAGGGGGAGCTTTGCGTGAGAGATGGCTGTGTGCCCAGGGAGGGGCCAGACCGGGCAGGGTTTTAGATCGTGTCTCGTGTGGCTGTTGAAGGGGAGTGGAGGATCTGATGGATGTCACATAGGAGGGGCCAGTAGGGCACAGGTAGGCGTCAGCTAACCAATCCCCCTTAAATTGATTTCTCTGTCACCTCCCAGGCAGGTGAAGCCAGACCCGACACCCCTGCTGACGTCTCGTCACAATGTCTTCCAGAATGATGAGTTTGATGTGTTTAGCAGAGATTCAGTGGACCTGAGCCGGGTGCACAAGGGCAGGAGGTGAGTGCAGTAGGCTGTGGGGTGCCAGGCACCCCAACTCTGTTAAGTGCAGTGAGAAAATCGAAAAAAAGGGCTCCGCCTTTATGGAAGTGGCCTGAGTTTCAGCTTAGGGTCCCTAGCAGTCCAGGGTCCCCCCCCACCCAGCAGTCCAGGACCCGTGTGCTCCCAGCAGGCAGGGCCAGGTTCTCTAAGGGTTATACATTAGGCTCTGACTCTGCACAGGGTGGTTTTTTAATGAATCCCCTTGTTGATAGCAAAAGGCCAGAGGAACCTAAGCTGTCCCCCTCTTCCCTTCTTGTATCTTCGGATGTGTCAACCATCAAATCTCTGGGCAATAGAGCTGAGCCGTACTTCCCAGAAGCCCCTCCTCCACATGATTTTCTCCATTCTGTGACAAAATGAGAAAATTAAGGACCTGTAGTAAGTGAGCTTTTCAGAGCGTGAGCATATTCTATTTTAAGGTCTTTCTACTTATTTTTAGCTTATGTCCTTTCTACTTTTTTGGCATTGAAAAGTCCATTTATGATTTATTCATTCATTCAACAAATATTTATTTGCCTGGTGCTCACGGCATACTAGGCCCTGGATTTATTAGGTGCTGGAGATGTAGTGGGCAGTAAAACAGACATGGCCCCTGGCCCTGTGGAGTTTGCACTAATCAGTTGGTCAAACGAGCCAAGTAACATTGCAGATCTAACAGGCACTATAAGGTGAAGGTGTGCAGACTTCCGAGCTTCTAGTAAGGGCTTTCATCTTGGCAGGAAGGCTCCTCTGAGGAAGTGACATGGGACCAACAGTGGAAGGATGAGGAAGGGTCAAAGGGCCAATTCTGCAAAGTGGGGGAGGGGGGAAGAGAGACTTTCCAGGCAGAGCAAACAACAGGGGCGGTGACCCCGAGGTCATGGGGAGCATGGTAAGGGTCCCATGAGCTGACACATTTCATGCTTTGGAAAGAGGACCTGACTTTGGAGTAGAGGCCCATTGGAGGGACCACGAGTCAGTAGTGATGATAGAGGCAAAGTATATAAATATATACAAAAAATATAAAAGGCAAAGTAAGACATTGACAACACTGTGCTCGCCCCCAGGGTTTCCCTAAATGGTATTGGTTCATGAAATCTGGAAATTTGGGAACTGCTGGACAATTACAGGCTTCCCTCTCTCTCTGCCTCATTATATATATGTATATATAAATACACACACACACACACACACGGAGACAGTGAGGTTCAGAGAGCAGCGGTGGGAGACCTGCCCCGTTCTTGTTATAGGAGCCCCAGTGGCAGAATTGTAAGCTGCTGCTTCAGAGAGGGCCCCGTGCTTCTCCCTCTCCCCAGGGCCATCGGCTGCTGGAAGCTTGGCTGGCCGAGGGCTCGGGGAGCGGACTCAGGGCAGCTATAAAGCCATCTGGCTGGCTGGACAGGAAGCAATTATAAACTGCTTAGTCACACACATTGCAACATCCCCAGATCCCGGGCTAGAGATGTTATCCTGCATCCGTGGCCGCTGTTCCAGACCAGAATGACCCTCTGCAGCTCCTGCTATGGAGAAAGGGGAAGATGAGGAGGGCTGTGCCTTGCTCCTGGGGCACTCCAAGCTGCCAGGCAGAGACTGGGCGGCAAATGTTTACTGAACTCGTTGTGCTGGGTAGCCTGGGCGCTGGGGATTGCAAAGAGGCAAAGCCTCCATTTATGTGTTCATTATTTATTTATTCATTCAGCAAATATTTATTAAGTGATTTACTAGCTCCAGATCCTATGCTAGACACCAAGGAGACAAGGTGAGCAGGGCACCTGGGTCGTGCTCTCAAATGGCACAGAGACTGTGGGAAAGACTCAGACCATTAAACAAGTAGCAACAGAGTGGGAGAGGTGCTGGGGTGGGGCATACAGGGACCGCAGTGAGGACACCTGTCCTAATCTGTTCCTTGCACGACAGGGAGTTGCCAGGTAGGGCAGTCTAGGCTTGGTCAACCTGTGGTACAGCCTCATCATCAAGGACACATCTCTGCCATCTCTCGGAGCTAGTTCCTTCAAAGCCACTGGGTGGCCGCAGCTGTTTCAGCCGTGACGTCCAGCAGTGACAAGTGGGAGTCTAGACCAGATCTTCCTGTATCTCTCTTAGAGACCAGGAAGCCTTTCCCAGAAGTCTCCAGACTCTGCTCACATCTCAGTGGGGAGCTGGGTCACAGGGCCGAGGGCCAGGGCTCCGGAAGGGGGAAAGGTGGAAAGACCTGAACCAAATGAGGGTCTGTTAGGAGTGGGATGAAGTGGACGGTGGCTGTTGGGTAGATGCTGGGCACATGTGCTGCAGGTAATTGCTAGCCAAGTGAAGGAGGCAGTGTGTATAAGGTGGGGTCCCATAACTCCTTTGGACTGAACAGAGGCGCCCTGGAAGATTATGAGTGCTCTCCCTCAGAAAAGGGTCTATGGCCAAAAAAATATCTGTGCACTTGGCTTTTTGGAGAGACACAGCGCATTAGCACATTAAAGGTTCTGACAAGTCCTGCAGGAAAAAGAAACAGGATTCACTTTGTTGAACTCAGCAGGTGCCAGGTTCACTTTTAGTCAACATCTTATTTCATCCGTGGGATGCAGAATTAAGACTTGGCAAGGATAAGAGGCTTGCTTGTGATGGATCGCACAGCCCAGGAAGTACCTGAGCAGACTGGAGTCAGTAGACCTGTGTTCTGGCCCTGGCTCGGCTGATAGAAGCTGGGTAACCTTGGGAAAGGCGCTCTGCCTCTTGGGACCTCCGTTTCCTCACCTGGAAAAGGAGGGATTTTTTGCCTCCTCAGGTCCTTTAGGAGTTCAGAGGTGGGAATCACCCCTCAAGGGCCAGTTTGAGTTGGGCTTTGAAGGATAGGCCGGAAGAAGTGAGGAGGGGAAAAAGTGGCTGGGCTTCAGGGGAACCCACGTGTTCCCTGGGCTCCCTGTCATCTTGTAGGAGGCCGAGGAAGCACCTGCTCCAAAGTCTCCAAAACCACTGTTGCCTGTGTTTCCAGACTTGACTGGACTTCTGGCCCTCAGATGGATCTTCTCCTGGCTGGCTTTGCCCCTGACTTTTCTTTTCCTTCTTGGTTCTGAATGGGGTCATGGGCCCAGAGCTGCACCTCCCTGGATGGGATGCCCAGGGCAGCAGGCTCCAATGTCCCTGCCTGTGTCCTCTCCAGGACCCTGGGTAGGTAGAGTTGGCAAGGCTTCTCCAGCCCTGCCAGGGAAGCGACATAACCAGAGGCCCACAGTGCGACCTTATGCATGAAAACTGGGGACCAGATGGACCAGGAGCTGTGGGGTGTGGCAGAAAGGACAGTGACACCTCTCATTCATCCTTGGACACCTGATTCAGCACAGGTCCTAGCACCTAGTAGGCCCTCCGGAAATGCGTGTGCAAAGAGGGGATGGGCTCCTTCTAGTGGCACCAAACACCTGGACGGGCTCGGGCCCCTTCCCCTTGCTCCCCGCCTCTTTCCTCTTCAGCCCCCAGCCTGGGGAAGAGAGCCAGGTAAGGGTTGGGGCCGCAGTCACTGGCCCCCTTTCCTGGCATGACATAAAATTTTCCTGTGGACCAAGAATTTTCCCTGGCCTAGATCCAATGCCCTCCAGCCCCCCAGAGGCTCCATTTCCTCTCCTCCCCCACCACTAGACCCCCTAAGCCAGAGGTCATCTTTCCTTTCTCTGTGTTCCCAGGACATGCTTACCTCCATTTAGCACATTTCACGTTAGCTGCCATTTGCCCGTGACCCTCACTAGACTGGGAGTTCCACGAGGCCAGATCCAGATCTTACTCTTTTTTGAATCTCTCCCGCAACCCTGCCTGGCACATAGTAGGCCCTTAGTAAAAACTGTTGAAGGAAGCCAAATCCTGACCTGCCCCAGCCTCCCTGGCAGACAGCCTGAGAGACTCAGGCCCCTTTCCCTCCCTGCATCAAAAACCAGTTAATAGAAGATTTTTATGGAGGCTATGTATGACTTTGTATCTCTTTTTCTTCTTCTTCTTTTTTCTTCTTTCTTCTTTCTTCTTCTTTTCCCCCCTACCCTTGATACATTCCAGAACACTGATTACACAGCTAAGCTGGATTTTCTTGCCTGGCATCTCATATTGATTTTCCCCTGCAGGGCTAGAAACTACATTCCACAGGCTTGTCCATGTGTCTGACAAGCCAAGTTTTTCTACAGATTTGCAAAGCCACAGTCAAGAGGCCTGAGTCCCCACTGAGGTTGTGCTACAGTTCACTGATCCCAAGCACATCCCACTCCTTCCTTCCACCGCACCCAAATTTCCTCACCTGTGATATATAACAAGAGTTGAACTTTTGGACTTTTTTCTTCCAGTGCAATCTGACATGGAAGATTGAACTGTAGAACAGATAGAAAGCCACCGTGATGAAACAGGGGTGGGAAAAAGAAGGCAGCTACCCCTGCTCACCCCTCAGCCCCCTGAGGTCCCCTGTGGCTCCCCTGAGCTCAGTAAGAGGGCCACATGTGGCCTTGCTCTTTCTTAAATTATTGTTTATTTTTTAAAGATTTTATTTATTTTAGAGAGAGAGAGAGACAGCATGAGCAGGAGGGGCAGAGGGAGAGGGAGAGAGAGAATCTCAAGCAGACTCCATGCTGAGCATGGAGCCCGACAAGGGGCTCGATCCCAGGACCCTGAGATCATGACCTGAACTGAAACCAAGAGTCGGAGGCTTAACTGACTGCGCCACCAAGGCACCCCTAAATTTTTGTTTTTTAAAAGGTTCAAATAATCCCAGGCCCTACCTAGGAGTAACCATTGTCATTTGGTGGGGGACTTACTAGCTCTGTCTGTGCATTGACATATGTAAATTATAATCGCTGTGCTCATAGGAACAGATAGTTTGTCTGGTTTGCTTTCTGCTTTTTATACAGTTGGGATCATATGTATACATTTTTCCGTAGCTTGCTTTTTTCCTCTGGAGTAAGTCTTAGAACTCTTTCTGCATCAGCACAAATAGATGAATGTCATTCTTGATAACAGCCGCCCAGCGTTCTGTAATATAGATGTGGCATATCATTTGGCCATTTCACCCGTGATGGACACTAGCTGTTTTCCATTTTTCACTGTCACAAACAACGTTGAAAAGAAAATTCCCCATCAGACCTCTTTATGCACCTCACCAGCCTTTCCCTAGGGTGGGCGCCTCTGAGCGGAATTTCCCGGCCGAAGGGTGGGCACGTTTTCCATGGCGGCAGCCCTTTGGGATGCCTTCCAGAGCGGCTGGACCCGGGCACACAGGCACCTGCCCACACCCCTGCCCCCTCTCCCCAGTGCAGTTTGCGCCAGCCCGAGCCCATGGTGCCTTGAACCTTCATGCTCACAGCCTTCAAAGCCTGATGGTTTCCTCTCTCTCTGCTGTCCCCGCCTGTCCGCTGCCAGGAAGGAGGAGAACACACGGAGCCTGCTGAACGACAAGCGGGACGTGGTCGCGCAGCGGCAGCGCTATGAGCAGTATAGCGTGGTGGTGGAGGAGGTAAGGGCCTCAGGCCGCCGGGGTGGGGGACACTGGCCAGCCCCGGGCCCCTTGGCCCCATACTCCTGCTCTTGCAGGTGCCCCTGCAGCCTGGCGAGGGCCTGTCCTACCGAGGTGATGACTACGAGGACGAGTACGATGACACATACGATGGCAACCAGGTGGGCGCCAACGATGCCGACTCGGATGACGAGCTCATCAGCCGCAGGTGAGGCTGCAGGGCCCTAAGTAGGTGGAGTTCCGGGGGGCGCGGGGGTGGGGCACAGCGGGGCTCCCAAAGCCTCTTGTTTATACAGATGGGGAGGCTGAGGCCCTGATCCCGTGAGCAAGTCAGTGGTAGAGCCAGGGCCTAAACTGAGCCCTTTTGACTCCTAGTCCAGTGCTCCTTCTACCCCCAGCCACCACCTTGACCAGTTGGTCCAGCCCATCCTGAGTGGGGCAGCATTTATTTGGTTTCATACAGTCCTTTTAGATTGTTCTCCTTGGCTGGAGAAAACTCTCCGCCGTGGAATCTTAGAGAGATTTCCCAGTGCAGATAAAAGCAGAGCTGCCCCAGCCCGCTCAGCCTCCCCTAAGCCCCTGTGTCAGACTCTGGTACCCTCAGAGAGTCTGGGGGCTGGAGCAAAGCTGGCTTGAAAAGCACTTTGGTTTTTTCCAGCTCCCTGAGCCCATCCCCATCCTGATGCCCCCTCCTCACCCAGCGCAATCCCCTCCTCCCTGAGGCTCCCTCTCCAGGTTTAATCCAGTCTTTGATCTCACTTTCTCTCTAAACCCTTAGGCCCTTCACCATCCCTCAGGTGCTGAGAACCAAAGTGCCCGGAGAAGGGCAGGAAGAGGACGAGGAGGAGGAAGAGGAGGCTGAAGAAGAGGCTCCTAAGGTACCTCCTTGGCAGGTGGCAGATGAAGGGGAGGGTGCAATTCTGAAGGGCACATTGGGACCACTGCACCCCTGCTTTCCCACAGTTAGCTCTGAGGCAGCCCTAGCATCCCTGCCCGGGAAAAAAGGGGTTCTTTTGAGCCTAGGATGTCTGCTTGGAGAGTTGCTAGCTTACAACTCACCTCCACTACCCAGTGAGGGCTTAGGGGATGGATTAGAGGCCAAGCCTTTGAGCTGCTGGGTTCATTAGGCCCAGGAGCCTGGGGGCTGAGAGAAGGGCAGTTCTCGGCCACCATGCTCAGGATGGCCATTCTTTTTTTTTTTTTTTTTAAGATTTTATTTATTTGATTTGTCAGAGAGAGTGAGAGAGCAAGACAGAGAAAGAGCAAGCACAAGCAGGAGGAGTGGCAGGCAGAGCTCCCTGCTGAGCAAGGAGCCCGATGCGGGACTTGATCCCAGGACCCATGACCTGAGCCAAAGGCAGACACTTAACCAACTGCCACTGAGCCCCTCAGGCGTTCCAGGACGGCAATTCTGCAACTCACAGAGATGTTAGAGCCCAAGGGCCCTTGGAGGTCATCTGGGCTGGTGGGTTTGAAAATTCTATTTTTGGCAGCTGAACTTTTTCTTCAAAAGAAACCTCAACATATAAAACAGATAAGGGCAGTGTTGCTCAGGTTGAACAGAGTGGCATCCTGGGACTCCTGGAGCCCCTCGTGCCCTCCCACCAAGGTAACAAGCGGAATGTGTCCAGGCCAGGCTCCTGATGAAGAGGGGTAGCAGAAACTGATGGAGACCGTGGCTATTGGGGTAGAAGCACACATACACCCTGCCTGAGGGGCTTCTCAGCAGAAACATAGGCCCAGAGCTTCCAGGGCTTTCTCTTCTACCCAGGCAAGGGATCAGCCCAGATTTTTCTATAAAATCTTCCAGTTTTCAAATGTTACCAGTTACACTTGTTTTGTTTGTTTTTTTAAGCAGTGCAGACCACTGAAGCCTGTGTGTGATCCTTAAGTCACAGTACTCCCCACTGCTAGTCCAGTCTCCTTTGCTTATTGGCCAAAAAACAGTCTTCAAGAGTGGCTACTCCCAAAGCACATCGGTGGTGGCACTAGAGTGAGGACAAAGCAGCTCCCGGGGCAGCTCTCTTGGCCTTCAAGGCCCTGTGTGGCCTCTCACGGTGGCCATTCTGGCCTGTCCCCCATTTGTCATCCATGCTCCAGCTGTGGTCCACCTGCCCCACCATGCCTGTGCAGGACGCCTTAGTCCCTTTAGCTGCTTCTAAAGGAGAAGAGAGGCTTCTAATGGAAACCTTGGACCCAAGCAAGGGTGGCTCCATTCTAGGGCATCACCCTGCCACACTGTGGCTTTCCCCCACTCCTGGCCTGGAGGCATCAACAAGACTCAGTCAGGCGCAGCCTCACCACAGCTTAGGCAAATGGGGCTGCTCGTGACTAGATTTTTTTTTTTCCTCCCCTCCCCTCCACAGCCTGACCATTTTGTGCAGGACCCTGCAGTGCTGCGGGAGAAGGCAGAAGCCAGGCGGATGGCCTTCCTCACCAGGAAGGGGTGAGCATTTTAAAGAGCTGTGTCTGGTGGGAGGGGACCCATCTGGGGAAGGCTCAGCCAACCACGTAGGAAGCCCACACATAAACCCCAAGTGCGTTACATGTGTTAATTTAACCCTCAGGACAGCCCTATGAAGTAGCCACTTTATCATCATCCTCATTTTACAGAGGAAGAAATAGGCCCATCCCCGTCCCCAAGCTCTCCTCTCCTCGTTGTGGGCTGTGGTCAGAACAGGTGATTCTTCCTGCAGCTAGGCCACGGACCCATCTGGAGGCAGGGCTCAGAGAAGAGAGTTCCCCAGACACAGGACTGGCCAGAGCCCCCCAGAGCCCTGCCCTTGCTGGGCTCCATTTCTTCTCCCACTGGAAGTGGGGACAGGGGTGTCCTGGGCCCGAGCCATGTGTCCTCTCCCCAGGACCTCTGAGAAAGGCAGTGGGCTCTTCCCATCCCCTGGGGTGGCTTGTTCCTCCCTCAGATACCGGCACGACAGCTCGACGGTAGTGGCCGGCAGCCCCCGGGGCCACGGGCAGAGCCGTGAGACAACCCAGGAACGCAGGAAGAAGGAAGCCAACAAGGCGACGCGAGCCAACCACAACCGGAGAACCATGGCTGACCGCAAAAGAAGCAAAGGCATGATTCCATCCTGAGGCCGCCCTGTCAGGGCCAGCCGGGAGGCAGCAGCACCAGACCTGCCAGGCTGAGTTACCATAGCCTTGGGTCTCCTCACCAGTTGGCCTCCTGCCAGGGCCCCAAGTTCAACTCCACCCCTCAACAGCCTCAGCTTCGCAGCCCCTGAGAAGGCCGCCTCGTCGTCCACCAGCCAGCCGTGAGCGCCTTCTTGCAGAACACACAGTGCCTTATCCCACAGTGGAGGAACCCCTGGGGCCAGCGAGCAGGCAAAAGGGATGGGGACGGAGCCCCAAGGCAAGCCCCACAAACCTCATGCAGCAAGACACCACTTCTCTTGGTGGTTTCCTTCCTGGACGGCAGGAAACCTGTAAATTCCAAAACAAAAACAGAAAAGGCCTGCAAATAAAGTTTTTGACCCTTTCAAGCAATGATCCATGATGTGCCCCTGGCCTGCTCCCCCTGTACCCCATTCTTCAGTGACAGCCACCATCGGGAGAGCAAGAGAGCAGGATGATCACCTGCTCTGCTCATCAGCCCTGCGTGCTTGCCTCTCATTTTAACCCCTCCTGATGTTGCCCTGCTTTGCTGTGTGGCCCTGAGCACATTACTCCCTCCTCTGAACCTCTAGTCCCTGCTTGTAGAAGGAAGAGATGAGGTTGTGAGGCCCTCTGGTCCTTTCCGTGTTCTCGTTCAGTCCCTACAACCTCTACCCTAGGAGGTAGGGAGTATTTCCGGCCCTGTGGTGTAGGTGAGCCACTGAGAGCTGGAGGTGCCTGCCCCGGCTACAGGCAGGAAGTGGGAGAACAAGGATTTGACCCTCAGTCGGACCCCTGGCCTTTATAGCATCCTAGACGGCGGGGTCATTGCCATCTCACAGCGGACCTGAGGACACTTGTCCCGTAGCAGAGCCAGTACCAGAGCTCGGCGCCTGCTGGTTGTGTGTACCCTCCATCAGATCCTGCAGAGTCAAGGAGTCGGAGACCAGAAGACACCAGTGAGGATGTCCCTACCAAGCCCCGTTGAAGGACTTGGGTCCAGTTCCTCAAAACCTCCTCCTGGGCATGGCCGATTGGTTCACCGTGTGGCAGCAGCTGCCAGGCAGCCTGATTCCTGGGCCCCCGAGAATGTTGCTGATCAACAGAGGATCGGCCGCGGGGTGTTTGCTGGCCTGATCCTGCCCAGCCTGGCCTGGAGGCCATCCGCGGGATCCAGGGCCCCTGCCCAGCTGGACCTTGACAAATCACCCTAGATGCTTGTGTAATTTATTTGCATGTGGTTAGGATGAGCGTCTGGAGCAGCGAGGCAGACAGGCCCTTGACGAATTGGTTTTGTTAGGTCAGCCACACAAGCGAAAATCAATAGCAATTCCTCTGAGTCACGCCAGTTCTCTTGGTGCATTTGAGATGCAGAGCAGATAGGAGAGTGGTGTCTTCTCCTCGAGCTGCTGAATTAGCTGAGATCGGGCTCGGGGTCAGCCACTCTGGCAGGCAGCAGGAAGACTCTGCTTCCTCCTCGAGGCATTTGCCAGGAACCGTACAGGCGAGGGTCATTTCTTTTCTCTCTCCCTGAGCTCCTCAGACCCAGCTCTTGGCCCTGGAGCAAGGTGAGGTGAGTTAGGGGAGCTCTGGCCTTTACCTACCTTACCTGTTACTGTTCACACAGCCCCTCTCACCTTCATTCTGTCATACATGCCTCCTGACCGCTGGGAGCAGTGTTCAGGCCTCACCTTGGCATTCTGGTTTAAAGGATTGGAGAAGACAGCGATTTTTCAAACTTTCCAGAATGTACTGCCAGGTCAAACTTGATCTCCCTTGAGGAACTATGTTCTTCCTCATTTCAGATCTTGAGGGCACCCCTTCAGGGATGTTTGCAAACACCTCACTCAGGAGTCATCCAGAGCAGTGCTTTACCTTCACCTCTCAGGGCCTCAGTTTTCCCATCTGCGAAGTGGGTACGTTGGGCCAGGTGAATGGTTTCCACCTGGTGCCAATCCAATCCTCTGAGGAGGCCCCAAGGTTTAAGATGGGCAATGGCAGAAATGTTACAAGTGAAGTGGGTGGGAGCCCTGAACCCTGCTCACTTGATCACTGGGCCCCGCCACCCCACCACTGCTCCTAAGCAGGAATTTCTAAGTGCCTTCTCTGCACCCTATTAGAGAACACGACTATCACAGGCATTTCCCGGGAAGCTTTTATGACCCAGTACCTCCAAGAGGACTTAGGACTTTGAATGTCATTGTTTCTAGCTCACGAGTGGCAATGGTAGCAGACGGGTCTGTCTGAACAGTGCTACCGTGCTTCTGTGAGGTGGGGAGGGCAGGGCAGAGCCTGTCATGGATAAAAGGGACCCGGGAGCCCAGGGAGGCAAGTTAGCAGCAGAGCCTGGACGCAGGTCCTTTCTTAGCTCCAGGTGCACTCTGGAAAAGTAAGCAATTAGCAGGAAACTGCCTGTCCCTGTCACACCGGGAGCTTGGGCTAAATAATGCAGGGAGGGAGACCAACAAAACCACAAACAAAAGTCCACCCACCAAAAATGCAGGGGGTGGTTGTGGAGCCCCCTTCTTTAAAATGATGTCAATGAACACTTGGTAGCAATGTGAGAAACGAAATATTGAAGAATCAGTTTGTTGTTCTTGTTGTTTTTTAAGAGAATAAATTGGATGGTAATGCTCCATGACTGTGAAAATATTTTTGAAAAATTTGCGTACAGACCAAGTCTGGAAAGGAATGTGCATAAACGAAAATGACAGTAAGACCATGATATTTGTAATGAGAATTAAAGGCGCTTACCGAGTACTTCCATGGCCAGAGTTTCTGCTGGGTTCTTGGGTTATCTTGTCTAACTCTCACCAGGTAGGTACAGATGAGAAAACCAAGGTCAGAGAGGGTAGGTGACCTGTCCGAGGTCACACATATACCACATGACCAAGGAGGGCTTCAGTCCCAGGATTGTCTCCTAAAGCCCACGCTCTTAACCCCTACACCACATGCCATTCCTTTTTTTTCCCCCACATCCGCATCCTTGTCACTACTGTTCTTAACAAAGAAAGAAGAAAATATAAGCCCAATAGCTATAGGACAGGAGGATGGGAAATCCCAGTTCATCAGACCAGGTTGATGGGACCCCACTTGTATGTATTGCACGAGTGGGGTATCGTCCCACAGATCTCAGATGCCCTGTTTTATTTCACTTTTTTTTCAGATTCGTTTGTCCTTTCCTCTGTGTGTCCAGTCTGCCATGAAGCCCACTGAATGATTCTTCATTTTTATGTCCAGTTCCTGTCCAGGGGAAGCAGAGAAAAGGCTGGGGGTAGAGCTCTCAGCTGAGATGGGGACCGCAGAGCCTGAGGAGCACAGAGGCCTGGGAGGGGGCCAAAGGGTCCAGGGTGAATATGGAAGAAGGGTGGGAAAGAGGATGGGAGTCCCAGAATTAGGACCACAGGCCAGGCCATGGCCCAGACATTTGTCCCGAACAGCAGCTCCCAGTATTTACTGCCTGCCCTCAGGGCTTGGGGCATGGACGGTCAGCCTGGTTGGGAGGACTAAGGGAGGAGACGCTAAATGCATCCACTCAGCGCACGTTTACCAAGATCTACTAGGTGCCAGGCACTGCGGTCAGGCATGTGTGAGAAAGATTGTCTCCCCTCCGCCCTCATGGAGTTCACAATCCAAGGTGGGACGTGGATATTAAGACATTTTGGCAAAGTGATTTAGTCATGGTTGTACTAAGCCCTAATAAACGAATGGAGAAATGAGCAGGCAAAGTGAACAGAAAGAAGCCAAGAGCAAAGAGACTTTCCAGAAGCAGAGGGTAGTGGGGCACTTGGGTGGCTCAGTCGGTTATGCGTCTGCCTTCAGCTCAGGTCATGATCCCAGGGTCCTGGGATCGAGCCCCGAATTGGGCTCTCTGCTCAGCGGGGAGACTGCTTCTCCCTCTCCCTCTGCTCCCCCCAACCCACTACCTCTCGCTCTCTGTCTCTCTCTCTCTCTCTCAAATAAATAAATAACATCTTAAAAAAAAAGAAGCAGAGGGTAGTGGTCGCAGTGTCAGGCAGCAGCTGGGAGGTCAACCTAGCTAAGTCAGTGGGGCTCCCTGGGGCTCTGCCCCACCTTGCCAGGAAGTGATGGGGAGATGTGGAAAGAATGGAAGGTGAGGAAGAGAAGGCAGGAGAGTGGGGCCCCCCTTCTGAGGAAGTTGGCATCAGAGAGGAGGAAGAGGGAGCTGAGAGGTGAGGAGGGAATCCAGACCATGTTGATGGGATGCCTAGAAGGAGCAGGTGAGGCACCAGGGCTCTAGAAGATCCACTTGGGGGAAGACTAGACCCCAGGAGGAGCTCCCCAGGTCAGCCTGATGTGCGGTCCTAGCTAACTAGATCTCTTGAGTGCTGGGGCAGGAGGAAGGGACCTTGACTATGGCCAGAGGCTGGTGTTGCAATTCTGCAGCCAGAAGCAAGGTAACCAATGCCCCGGGGGGTGGGGGTGGGGTGGGGTGGTATGTGTGTCTTAAAATGAGAATCAAATTCCGACTTCACACTGGAAATTCTCTCCCGACAATCGATAATCATCAAGAGAATTTTACGTAGCTGGCAGACCTCGGAGAGCCTTACAGGGCATTTTGTCCAGAGTTTCTCAACCTATTTAAAGCCCCAACCCTCCCCCTAATCTCAGACCCTGGGATTTCAGCTATCCCCACTTCCCCTGGGAGTGGGGGAGGTTTGCCCTGCCTAAGAATTCGCTGGGCTTCCATGGCGCTCTCCCAGCCATGGAGGTTATATCATTGAGCTTTACTCGCTGTGGTCTGAATTACAAGAACAACAGGCACTTAATTTTAGTTTCCCAACTATGAAATTATGACACTAAATATGCTTTCTCTGGCTGCATGAGCCCACCCTCAGCACTCTGACAGATCCCTTAAGTGCTCTGCCATCCCAAGGGGGTAATTATGGTTTTCTTCTTCTTAAAGTGGTTTTCACGAAAGAGCCAGGCTGAAAGGGGGCCCCCTTCAGTGGGATGAGGGCCAACCATGCCTGTCCATTTAGGATTTTACGTGTAGAGCTTACATGCAGGCTCCAGCCCCCATCTCCTATCCTGTGGTCTAGCCTGCTTACTCTATGTTCTTTCATGTGCACATTTGCAGGCCTCAAGATCCCATCCTTTTTATTGTTATTTTGTTCATAAAGGGTGGTGAAAAGAGCACTGGACTGAGGGTCAGGAGCCTAGGGTCTAGGCCCTTAGATTTCAACAAGCTGTGTGACTTTGGGTCCATTCCTTGGCCTCTCTGGGCCTCAATTTCTTCTTCTAGGAAATGGAGATGATCATTCTCTCACCTCTCTTGCCTCATGGGCATGGGTAATTGTGAGGGTCAGCTGAGATCATACTGGGTGGGGACAGAGGGCACTCTGAAATTGGTGAATCTTGTTCAAAGGGGAGAGAAGAAAACTGATGGGAGTTTTCTGGCCACTGCATTTGGGGCAGTTTCCACTTCTCTCTGTTAATCACCCTGCCAGAAACTTCTTTGCACAAATCACCCATTTCCAACAGGCACATTTCCAATGGAATGCTGGGGTCCCAGGGCCAGGAAAAGTTTGAGAGCTGCCTCTGTCTGGGTTTTTGCTGACAGTTCTCTCCAGAAGGACAAAATCAGGGAATGGCCTGAACTCCAAAGCTTTTGGCTCCGCGAGCAAGTTCTGTCATGAAGCAGCCTCCCCTCAAGGCCCCTGCCTCTAGGGGAGCCTGGGAGCTGTCACACGGGGACCCCTCTGGCTGGTGAGACAGTTGCCCCTTTCCTATGACAGGCCGACCAGATGCCACATGACAGATGCAATGGGCAGATCGCAGCCCCGGGTCCAGCTGGACTGTATCACGTCAGCAGGGCAACATCCCGCTCCGTGACCCGCCACAGGGGTGTGTGCGGCCTGTCACAGCTGGAAAATCAGACCCCCCCCCCCCCCCATTCAGGAGAGGTCTACACAGAAAGGCATTGGCCCCTCCCCCAGAGTATTAACACAAGAGTAACATGCAATGGCCGTGCCAGACTTTTTCCTTGGGGATCAGGGTCCTCTGAAGGGCCAGCAGCTTATTTGGCTTTTGCCATTTAGAGCAGGGGCTGAGCTCTGGGGTTAGAACCAAGCTGGCCTCAGCCACTCTCCAGCTCTGTGACTCTGAGCGAGGTTCTCTGAGCCACATTTGTCTCCACATTGAGATGTTGGCAGGATGGCTGGCATAAGGTGTGCAGTGCTGGCCCACTGTGAGGCAGGCTAGTGAACTCACAGGGCCCTGCTCAGTGGGACCCAGGAGAAGGGTGGCGGGTGCCTCCCACCAATGCCCCAGGCAGATTTCTGTGCACCCCACTTCTCAGCCTCTCAGCATGGCTGCTGTGACTCCCGTACAGCAGTCCTCCCGGAAACCTCTGGGCTCAGGATGATCTGGACACACAAGAGGAGGCAAGAGAAGAAGATTGGCACAATCCAGCCTGGTAAGCGTGTGATGGGTGCCCTGGGAGCAGAGGAGGTAGCCTGCTTAGCTTTGTGGGGCAGCAAATTACCTCACTGAATCCTTGAAACAAAGCCAGGTGGTAGGTGTGATTATATAAGCCTCATTTCGAGGTTCAGCCCCTTGCTCATGGCTGAGCAGTGGCCGCGTCAAGATTCAAGCCCAGGCTTACCAGCCTCCAAAGTCCGTATTTTCAGCCTCTTGGCTTTCCTGTCTCCCTATAGCTTGACACTTACTCCATGTGTGGTTGGCTCAGCATGGAAAAGAGGACCTATCACCTCCTTTGTTCTAAACACCATACTTCTATTAATACAACTTATAATCAAATCATTCCATTGACAGAGATGAGAGTGGGAAGTTGGGCAGGATATATTTTCCCAAATCTCCACTTTGCCATAGTTTCCCCTGTCTGCTAACGGAAGGAAGGGCTACCCTTCAAACTACCGTTTGAAGGAGGTGTTTCATTAGGGAAGATTGGCGAGGAGATAAGACATCACACAGACTTGCAGCCCCAGGGCAGGAAGCAGCCTCTCTGTTGGAGGCCTGTACAGGAGGGAGGCAGAAGTGTGCTCAGACATCTGGAAAGGAGGAAGATAGACGAAAGCGGAGAGGACTCCATTAACATGGTTAAAGGTGTAGGGAAGAGATAAGGGCCGCCGGAGGAATGCACGAGTCGGCTGGAGTTCAAAACAGTGTTAGAGACACTGAAAACGAGATTATCACGGGACACACGGGAGCACGAGAAAGTGATCAGACCTTAGAGGGAAAGAAAGGATGTCAGGAACACGGTTTCAAAACAGCTGGGACAAGGGGTGGGGCACTTGGATGATTCAGCTGTACAGTCATCCCCAAAGCTCTCAGCCCACATTTTGTGGATCGAATATGCCAATTAGGCACTGTTCCCTGAAGACTGTGCAGGGAGCCCCCCCTTAATGTACTCATGGTAGCAACATAACAAAACCACCACTAGTAGGCGGGTGCTAAGAACATTATAAGCATTATTTCACATAGCTTCCCAACCACCCTGTGAGGGATTGCTCTCATTATCCCATTTTCCACAGGAGGAAACTGAGGCTCAAGGAGAGGATGCAACCTGCCCAAGGTCACCTGGCCAGAGAGTAGCAGAGCTAGAATTCAAACCCAGGCATGTGCTATTTCCATAATCCATACCTAGACACAAGACGGGAGAGCAAAGGGACCCACAGCAAGGACCATATTTGGGAGGTTTGTAAAGTGAGATTTGAGGTAGCTTGGATCTTAAATGGCAGGTTAAGGAATTTGAACTTGATCTTACCAGTAGTGGGGAGCCACTGAAGGTGTTTGAGCAAGGGAGTTGATCTGGCAGTCTTATGAGGGTGCAGTGGAGAATAAGTGTCCAGAGCAGCCGAGGAAGTTTTCTGTGCAGGAGTTTTGAAGGGAGAATAGGCCGGGAGCAGCTTGAAGGCGGTCAGTACCCCTGTACTGAGACTGTCGGCTAAGTGGCTCCCAGCTGACACTTTCTCTACATTCCATCACTGCCTTGTCCTTGATGCCGGCTGGAATCTGCCCTTGGCTTTCAATCTGTGTATAAATCCAAGCGTATCAGGCCAAGGCCCCAGCGAAGAGAGAGAAATGATTTTTACACAGCACAGAGCTGTGGTTATGAGCACAGCCTCGGGAGCCAACTGTCCTGTATTTGAACTTCTGCTCTACTTTCCCTAGCTGTGTTACCCTGGGCAAGATACTTAACCTCTCTGAACCTCACTTTCCACCTGTAAAATGGGGTAGAGAGCGGTGCCCACCTCGGGTTGAGGATCTAGTGACATAGGATATGGTTAATGGTACGAGGACCAGGCCTGGCCCTGGGTGTGCGTGTGTGTGTGTGTATGTGTGTGATCCTCTGCAGGGACTAGCCCCTGCCCCTTTAACAATGTTTGTCCTTCGTTCACACTGAAGCAATTACCATAACCTCCATTTTGCCTGCCAAATTTGTATTCCCTCCAACTTTGCACTTTGCTCAGACATTTTAAATTCATTGATTTTTGTCCTTTCCTCACAAGACTTCAAATTCATATGTAGGACAGTCCTTGTTCCTTGTTATTGGACGAGCAGCCTGAGTTACGGGATGGAATCCATTTCTGTTTAATAACTTACATTGCTTCCCCCCTGTTATTATAAAAGCGGTAACAGGCTTCTCAGTGTGGTTCACATCAGTAAGCAAAAAGAAAGAACATTTCCACCATCCGGAAATAATTGCCGTTAGGATTTTAGCTCTTATCCTTCCAACATTATTTTAGAAAAAGGAATATACATAGGCATGTTCTTTTTTTCTCTTTTTTCTTTTTTACATATGCCTTTTCCACGAAAATGGGATCATACTACACATGCTGTTATCCCTGTTTTTTCGGCTAGTTGGACATTGTGGACATGTTTCCCTTTCTCATCTGCATCTGCTTTAATGGGTTAGTAGTAGTCTCTCATGATACTATACGTCAGTCAACCTGTGCCTTAGTTGTGCATGTTGGTTGTTTCTCATTATTTGCTATTAAACTGCAGTGAACAACCTCCTGGCTAAATATTTGTCCACCTCCATGATTATTTTCTCAGGGTAAATTCTCAGAATTGCTGAGTCAAGTTTTTTGACTGTCCAATCGGCCCTTCCCGCCAGCCAGATTTGAGAAGGATCATTTCCTGCATCTTTGCTCACTCCAGGTATTATAGTTTTTTAAAATCTTCACGAGTTTAATAAGTAAAAGGATATCTAGCTATTTTTATTTTGCAAATCTGTTCTTGCAGAACCTCAAGGAGTAGATGCAGGTATAAAATAGATGAGAGGGTGGGGAGATGGGCAAAATGGGTGAAGAGGAGTGGGAGATACAGGCTTCCAGTTATGAAATGAGTAAGTCATGGGAATAAAGGGCACAGGGTAAGGAATATAGTCAATGGTATTATAATAGCATTGTATGGTGACAGATGGTAGCTACACTCGTGGTGCGCGTAGCGTAACATATAAACTTGTCAAATCACTGTGTCGTACACGTGAAACTAATGTAACGCTGTGTGCCAGCTACAAATAAAAAAATTAATTAAAAATAATTAAATGGGGGCGCCTGGGTGGCTCAGTCGGTTAGGCGTCTGCCTTCGGCTCAGGTCATGATCCCGGGGTCCTGGGATCAAGCCCTGCATTGGGCTCCCTGCTCGGCAGGAAGCCTGCTTCTCCCTCTCCTGCTCCCCCTGCTTATGCTCTCCCTCTCTCTGTCAAATAAATAAATAAGATCTTTTAAAAAAAATTAAATGGACGTGAGAAATAAACCTCCTGCACACTAACCCCCAGCCCAGAGTCTGCTTCCTGGGGAACCCAGCCTGTGATAGGCAGTATCCTTTTGTCTACTGGGGAAAAGCCTAGAATGTTCCAAGGGCTGGGCCTTTCTTCTTTGAGCTGACAGGCCAACTTGGACTCCGCCCAGAGCTGAAAAGTTTTGAACCTTGGCAGGCAGCCCTAGAGTACAGCCTGGATAGCCCCTGGCTGGGTTAATTAAGCAGTCATCTGGGTGAGGATTTACTGCACGGTAATCCTTACTCTCCTTGACACCCCTCCAAGATGACATCTCCAGAAATAACAAGAATCATAGCTGCCATTGTGCAATATCATGGTGAGTATTTTACAGATGAGGATACTGGCTCAGGGACAGTAAGTAACTTGTCTAAATTCACATAGCCAGTGAGTGGTGGGGCTTGAATTCTAACCCAGGACTGTCCATTCTAAAATCAGTGCTCTTTACACCTCACTAGAGCTATTCAGTGGGAATAATAAAACGACCTCTTGGATAATTGTTCAAATAAAATGACACATAAACTGCAAAGCACTTAGTACAATGCCTGGCTCATGGTAACTGGTTGATAAATGTAAGCTATTCATCAGAAACCCTCCGGAGGCTTACCTTTCTTTTTAGAATGGAATCCAAACTCTTAGCATGACCTACAAGAGCACACAGTATCTGACCCTATCTATTACTGCCTCACTTCCTTCAGTTCCATGAATAAACCAAACCCATACCCACCTCAGGGCCTTTGCTCTCACTGTTCTTATTTCTTGAAATACCTTTCCTCTTGATCTTTACCTGGCTGAGATTTCCATTCAAATTTCAGCTCAAATGCCATCTCCATAGAGAAATGTTCCTTGACTCCCTACCTGAGCATCTCACACTGCTCCTTAAACCTGAGTCACCCCCTATATGTTACCCAGTTTTATTTTATTCATAGCCGTTAACGTGAGCTGAAGTTTTTATTTAATTTCTTGTTTACCATCTGTCTCCCCTACTAGAATGCAAGCTGCAAGAGGGTAGGGATCTTCCTTGGTCTCCACTGTGTGTCCAGGGTCTAGAACAGGGCCAGGCAGAGTAGGCACTCAATAAAGATGTATTGGCTGACTGACGGACGGACTGAATGACTGAATAGTTTCTACCAGTTTGGAGAGATTTTTTTTTTTTTTAAGATTTTATTTATTTATTTGAGAGAGAGAATGAGAGAGAGAGCGCAGGAGAGGGGGGGAGGGTCAGAGGGAGAAGCAGACTCCCTGCCGAGCAGGGAGCCCGATGCGGGACTCGATCCAGGGACTCCAGGATCATGACCTGAGCTGAAGGCAGTCGCTTAACCAACTGAGCCACCCAGGCGCCCCTGGAGAGATTTTTGAAAACAAGAGAGAAGCTAGGAGAATAGGACATTCTCTCAAATACACTTAGCCAAGAGAGTGGTCCTGCTTGCTCACAGCAGAGCTATACTGGATGCCAACTTCTCAGAAGAGGATTTCAGAGGCCTTCAGTAACTTGCTTGATGAGGTTTCCAAGCATTTAGCTTTTCCTGACACCATTGCAAGAGGAGCAGATGGGGAGTCCTTGGGGCTTTCTAACCGTAAAGACCGTCCCAGCTCTTGACTCCAGGAAATACCTCAGGCTGAGCTTGGGAAGGAAACTTTTTCCAGTAATAAACAGCTTCTTGGTGCCAGTCTGAGGAGGGTGCTAATCCTCATTTCCCCCACCTGTGAGGCACACCCACCCAGGGAGCTCTGGGGAGGCCCAGCTCCCAGTTACCAGTGCCACGCAAGGACGAATCCTCATTGGAAGCTCAGGAAGGGGAACCCTGGGCCTCCAAGCAGCTGGGCTCTAGGCCTGGAGCCAGAGCCGGGGACTCACATCTTGCATTTCTCTGTGTTCACACCCTCTCTGGGAGGCCCCCTTTTAATTTATTCCTCCCCCATTGTAAGAATAATACATGCTTGATGCAGAAAACGTAGACATCAGAGAGAAATACAACGGAAAATGACTCTCCCAGAGTTAACCACTATTAACAATTTGTTATGAGCATTTCCAATTTTTTTCTTATACATGTTTACCAAAAAAATGCATTGTGTTGTATATGAATTTGTGGCTTTTTTCACTTAGCTTTATATTTTGACTGTTTTGTATGAGCATTCTTCCTAACCATCTTTTACGTTCTTTTTTTTTTTTTCTTTAAAAGATTTATTTATGGAGCACCTGGGTGGCTCAGTCAGTTGAGTGTCTGCCTTCAGCTCAGGCGGGGAGCCTGCTTCCCCCTCTCCCACTCCCCCTGCTTGTGCGCACGCTCTCTCTCTTCAAATACATAAATAAAATCTTTGACAAAATAAAAGATTTATTTATTTTAGAGAGAGAGAATAAGTGTGCACACAAGCAGGGGGAGGGGGCAGAAGGAGAGGGAGAGAATCTCAAACAGGCTCCGACTCCCTGCTGAGTGCCGAGCCTGATGCAGGACTCCATCTCACCACCCTGAGATCATGACCTGAGCAGAAATCCGGAGTTGGCTGCTTCACCAACTAAGCCACCCAGGCGCCCCTTACTTGCTTTCTCTTTTAGAAAAATTTTTTTATTAGAATATCAATATCTGCTTGTTGTAAGAGAAAAAGGCAGTATCTGTTGCACAAGGTGGAAGTTCTTTGAAATTCCACCCCTCAGAGATAGTGGCCATGAAAAGTTTAGTGCATATCCCTCAGTATTCTGTGTGTACACATATCGATGTGTATCGATTTACATAAATGGGATAAAATTAAACACACAAATTTTGCAGCTTGATTTTTTTCCATTTCATCTTTCTTTACCCCTACACACCGAGTCACCACAGTCTTCTTAATGTCCACATAAATGTCTGTGCTAGAAATCTCTTTAGTCACTTCCTTATTGAAGGTCATTTTCTTCTTCTTCTTCTTCTTTTATTTTTATTTATTTTTTATTTGAGAGAGAGAGAGCATGAACGGGGGGGAGGGGGCAGAGGGAGTATCAGACTCCCCGCTGAGCAGGGAGCCTGATGTGGGGGCTTGATCCCAGGACCCTGAAAGTATAATGGTGGTTGCCAGGGGCTGGGGAAGGGGAGATTGGAGAGCTATTTAATAGGTACAGAGTTTGTTTTATAAGATGGGGATGGATAGTGGTGATGGCTGCACCCAGTATGATTATATTTAATACCACTGAAGTGTACATCTAAAAATGGTTAAGATGGTAAATTTTGTTATGTGTTTTTTGTTGTTTTGTTTTGCTTTGTTTTGAGAGAGAGCGAGTGAGCACAGGCACAAGGGGGGGCAGGGGAGGAGCAGAGAGGGAAAGAGAATCCCAAGCAGGTTCCATGCTGAGCACAGAGCCAGTTTGGGGGCTCAATCCCACCACCCTGAAATCATGACCCAAGCCAAAATCAAGTGTCGGACGCTTAACTGACTGAGCCACCCAGGCACCCCTGTTATGTGTTTTTTTTTTTTAAGACTTTATTTATTTGACACAGAGAGAAGGAGACAGTGCACACAAGGAGGTGGAGCAGGAGAAGCAGGCTCCCCACTGAGCAGGAGCCCAATGTGGGACTCAATCCCAGGACCCTGGGATCATGTCCTGAGCCGAAGGCAGTTGCTTAACCGACTGAGCGACCCAGGCGCCCCTATGTGTATTTTAATACATGCACAAAGAATTTCTGAAAGGAATAAACATTTAAAATAGATAATACCAAAGTATTCTGTAAAACCATTGTTCCAATGGCCATGTGTGGTACTTGCTCCTTTACAAAAAACTAATGTTGCTAATCTTTTTTTTAAACACGAGAAAACCAAATTATTTATTTATTTATTTATAAGTTTAATTTATTTAAGTAATCTCTACACCCAACATGGGTATCGAACTCACGACCACAAGATCGAGAGTTCCACACTCCTTCACCTGAGCCAGCCAGGTGCCCAGAGAAAACCATTTTAACAGTGTGCATACATACATAGGGGGAACACACACGGAGATGGAAATTCCCTTGCTAATCTTTTTCATCTTCATTGATCTGGTAGACAAAATAGTATCCATCTTGTTTATTAACGAAACTGGGCATCTTCTCATATTTGTAGTCACTTGTATTTCTTGTACTAATTGCCTATTTGTGTCATTAGCCTCAGCTTCCAAGTTATTCACCTTTTTTTATTGATTTGGAAGACTGCTTCATGTATTAGTGAGGTTGGTACTTTGCCATATTTGTTGGGTATTTTCTTCCAGTCAAAACAAGGTTTTAAATGACTGCGTATTTCACCCCAATATTAATTCCTATTTTGGATATCTTATTTTCATTTTTCCCATTATAAAAAACACCATGATGAACATCTCTTGTGGACAAGGAAAATTTGCCAGAAGTGGGATCTCTTGGGTCAAAGGTATGCACATTAAAGATTTTAATACATAGGTGCAAAATACCCTTCAGGAAAATGGTTCACACATGCTTCCTATAGTGCACGGGTCCCATATATCTTTTTATTTTTAATTTAAATTATTTTAATTCAATTAATTAACATGTAACGTATTATTGGTTTCAGAGGTACACGTCTGTGATTCATCAGTCTCATAGAATACCCAGTGCTCATTACATCACATGCCCTCCTTAATGTCCATGTATCTTTGATACAGAATGACATTTACAGTATCTCCTGTGGGAGGTCAAGCCTTATGTTTGCTACCACATGCCTAGTAGCACCTAGCACGTGCCTCACACACAGTGGCCACCCAAATGTTTGTTGAATCAATGACTGGACTATGTTCCTTGAACCCCTCTTCCTCACATTCCTGCTGCTCCATAGCCTGCCGGCAGAATCTTCTGGTTCTCCAGGTCCTTAAGCATCCCCCCGTGTTTCTGCCAGCAGTTATGTCCGTGTGCCAGGGTCTATGTTAACTGCATTTCCCAACTCCTTTAATACTTACAAAGAACCCACACAGAAGGTGCTCTCATTATCCCCATGTAACAGACCAGGAAACTGAAGCTCAGAGAGGTCAAGTGCCTTGCCCTTGGTTCACAAAGCTAGAACTGGTAGAGGGAGGATTCAAACCCACCAAGTAAGCACAATGATAAACCAAACTTATTAGAGAGAGGAACTCTGGCAGGATGGTCAGAGTTCTGGTCCAACTTTATCATCAGAAGATGGGCTGTGGCCCAGAGAGGTATGCCAACTTGTCCAAAGACACACAGCAAATTAAAGGCAGAATGGAGACGGGACCCTGGAGCAGGGTTTTTTCCCCAAGCTGAATCCAGGACTTCCCTATGGTTAAGCCAGTTAGCTCTCCTCTGTATGAAAAATGGAATTATTGGGGCTCCTGGCTGACTCAGTCAGTAGAACATGTGACTTTTTTAATCTTTAATTTTATTATTATTTTTGAAGATTTTATTTATTTGACAGAGAGAGACACAGCGAGAGAAGGAACACAAGCAGGGGGAGCGGGAGGAGAAGGGATCATGACCTGAGCCGAAGGCAGACGCTTAATGACTGAGCCACCCAGGCACCCTGTAAGCTTTATTTTTATTTAAGTAATCTCTACACCCAATGTGGGGCTCAAACTCAACCCTGAGATCAAGAACTGCATGTTTAGGGGCACCTGGGTGGCTCAGTTGTTAAGCGCCTGTCTTTGGCTTGGGTCATGATCCCAGGGTCCTGGGATCAAGCCCCACATTGGGCTCTCTGCTCAGCGGGAAGCCTGCTTCTCCCTCTCCCACTCCCCCTGCTTGTGTTCCCTCTCTCGCTGTCCGACAAATAAATAAAATCTCAAAAAAAAAAAAAAAGAATTGCATGTTCTACTGACTGAACCAGACAGGCACCCTAAAACACGCAACTCTTTTTTTTTTTTTTTTTAAGATTTTATTTATTTATTTGAGACAGAGAGCATGAGAGGGAGGAGGGTCAGAGGGAGAAGCAGACCCCCCGCTGAGCAGGGAGCCCGATGCGGGTCTCGATCCCGGAACTCCAGGATCATGACCTGAGCCGAAGGCAGTCGCCCAACCAACTGAGCCACCCAGGCGCCCCACGCAACTCTTTTTTAAGATATTATTTATTTGTCAGAGAGCAAGAGAGAGCGAGTGCATGAGCACAAGCAGGGGGAGCTGCAGGCAGAGGAAGAAGCAGGCTCCCTGCTGAGCAAGGAGCCCGACTTGGGACTTGATCCCAGGACCCTGGGACCACGACTGGAGCCGAAGGCAGACACGAAACTGACTGAACCACCCAGGCATCCCTGCAAGTAATTCTTGGTATCTCAGGACCCTGAGTTTAAGCCCCACCTTGGATGTAGAGCTTACGCTAGGGAAAAAAAAAAAAGACAGGAATTACTGATTTAGAAGCAAAAGCTGAAAGTAACACCTCCAATTATAGCTCATGTTTTATAAACCCGAGTTCTCTGGAAGTTAAAGGGGAACCCAAAATAATGGAATCTGCCCTTCAGAGTTTTGCAGAGGACTCTGAAGGGGTCTCAACCAACAAGTGAAGATCAGGTAGAGTTAACAAAGCACTAGATGCAGAAGCCATGTCTCAAGGACAGTTTACATTTATTTGCTGATGACTCTGACTAAACATAGTTCAAACACAGCAGAAGTTAAAGAGTCTGTCAGGTGAAGCCGCTTCTTGCCAACAGCTAAAGGTGGTCGATGAAGAGTAATCTGAGCATCATCTTCGGGCTGAGGCCCTGGTTTTGGGCAAACAGCTGGTGGGTGGACCTGGTCCTTTCCGGCATGGGTAGGGGTCTCTAAGGAACTACTCCTTATTCTCATACTTGTGCTTGATGTGTTTCCACAGCTTCTGCATTTTAAAGACAAGAACCACAAACTTTTAGCTTTGTATCTCGTATTTTGCAGCTACCCCCACTGTCCTGGTCTCTAAAACAAGCTTGAGAGAAACATCTACCATGTCTGGACAGCTGGGGTGGGCAAACTGGAAGCAACACTAGGTTTGATGCACATTCCTAACACTTGTAAACTACTTTGATTTTATCAATCGCTATGTAAAGGTAAACAGACTCAGAGGTAATACAATTTTGGATGATCTTTCTTCTACAGGAGACTGAGGTAATTACACAAATGTACACAATTATTAAGGAACAGAGCCTCGAAGAGGTCTTATATGTTCAACTTCCAGGTATTACTTAAGAGGTCCCAAATGCATGGCCCCAAATACTTCATATTGAATCATTTTTTAATTTCATTAAACCTATGATTTGGGTCAGGAACTAGTTGGATTCTCATTCCTTTTTTAAGATTTTATTTTTTTAAGGAATCTCTACACCCAACATGGGGCTTGAAATTACAACCCCGAGATTGGGGGCTGTGCACTCTACTGACTGAGCCAGCCAGATGCCCTGGATTCTCATTCCTAAAAGCACAGACTGGTAAGTTATGACAGCATACTTAAATGCTTTTCCCCAACATTGGGAACGGCCCGCAGAACTGCCTGCAGGAGATGGAACAGTGGCAACACTCTCATAGGGACAGACAGCTTCAAATTAAAAACACAAGTGAATGGTGTTAACAGGCCTATCTGCAGGAGACCTTCCCCGGTATGAGCCACAGTGTAATGATGAAAAGCGTGTACAGCAACTAGCAGTGTTGGCACACTAGGAGTCTAAAAGGTGTGGTTATGCCCTATCTTCCGCTTTCACTTTCTCCCGAGGAATGTTAACAAACGTTATTTTTTGAGTGCACCACCTACCAGCTACTGTGGCACCTTGCCTGCATCTCATATAATCCTCACAGCAATTGCCTACTGTAGTTACTATCAGCTCTACATCACAGATAAAAGTGAAGCTCAGAGAGGTTAAGAAACTCGCCCAACTAAACGCCACAGTTATCAAGTGACAAGGCCCCGTATCCCCATCCAGGGCTCTCTGATTTTATATTCCCAGCTCCTAACCATTATTACTACCACAATGCCTACGTGGGAAGCCTGGGAAAGCGAAGAGTGCTATCTGAAAAGACCAACCACAGTATCTAAGTTAGAGATGTCCTTTTCACGACCCTCACCCGCTCAAATCTGCCTTTGAAACCCTCAGAGAGGAGACTGTGGGTCCGGGTTCCAGCCCAGACTCGCCCGCCACTGACTTCCTGATGGTGTAGCCCCAGTAAGTCCTTTGCTCCCACTAGGCTTTAGGTTTTGCTCCTGCAAATGGACAAGTGGGTATGTGGGGTGTGAGACAGCAATACTTATAAGCCCCACAAAGCGGGATCATTTAATGTTTTGGGATTCACATTCGGCGGAGAGGACATACGGCTGTCGACCGACAGAAGACGCTCAGGGCTTTCCCCCCTCTTAGTAAAGGCAGACTGAGTCCCACTCCGCCTCCACTCTCACTGTCACCCCTCAGGCAGGCCCAAGGTCAGGGATGGCCCAGTCCCTCACCCCCTGGTTGATGTGTTCGTAGATCGCGTCCGCGCCTTGATCGAAAGCGCGCTCGAAGAACAAGGCTCCCACGGCGATGGTGAGGGCGAAGGTGGAAGTCCTGCGGAACAGCAGCGAATACAACCTCGCAGTAAACGTTGGGGCCGCCATGTTTCTCCGCTATCAAGCGCGCGCCTGCGCCGCAGCCGATCATGCGCTCCTAAAGCCCTCGGCGTGCAACACTTTATGGGATTTGTAGTTTTTCTGAATCTCAGTACTTATCTTTTTGAACGATAGAGGTAAGTGATGGCTTTGCGGGGAGGAAAAGTCTCATAGGATTTAGATCAGGACGGTCCAAATAGTGTGGTAAGATTTGTTACCCAATGTTTCTCCTCAATAATTTCTTGCTGAGTGAATATCCCGGACTACAACACCCAGAAGCCCTCGCGCTCCCTTTACCTCCCCCAACCCCCGCGCGGTCTCAGCTATGATTCCCAAAGGTTTCTGGGAAGGGCAGGCTGATACTCAAGGAAGGACTACGAATCCCAGCAAGCAGTTCGCGACACGAGAGCGCAGAAGGAGGAGGAGCTCGGAGCCGTCGGGCCCTGCGGAACCAGGTACTCTCTCTGGCGGGACGTCAAGGGGCTAGTCTTAGTCGTCTTCCCCCGAAGGGAAGACATGGGCTTTCCTTTCTAAGTCCTTTACCCCTTCTGTGGGCCGCACCAACTTAACGGAACGGGGAGTGAATTAAAGGGTGAGAGGGCCTGGGCGCCCAGGTCCCTGGCTCATCTCTGTCTGTCTCCTCTGTTAGCCCCAAGTCCAGGCCTAGAGTTGGAGCCTATGGCAAAGTTGGGCCCTGGGGCTTGAACCCCTTTACCCGGCGTCTGGGGAAGGGGCGGTTCTGCACATGCTTCCTGTTCCCGTCATCCCTGGGCTTCGCCCCCTGGAACCCTGACCTAGAAGGGGGGAGATCTGGGGACCGCTCATTCCTTCTTGGGGATAGAAATAGGGGCTTTGGTGTATTAGTGCCATTCAACTGATAGTTTCTTAGTGCCGCCTCTGGGAGTAGTGAACAGGTCCCCGCTGTCATGGAGCGCTCATTCAGTGTGTGGGCAGATCGGGAGGTGTGGTAACCAAAAACAAGTAATACTCTAAAAAGCAAAAGACAGGTTGGTTGAGGAGCGTCTGGCGGTGCTATTTTAACCAGGGTGCCTAGGGTGACACTTTAACCAGAGACCCGAACGAATGGAAGTCGGTCAAACAGGAAAAGGTTGGTGCGAAGGACTTGAGGCTGCAGCAGTCCTGGAGTGCTTGAGGGAAAGCGGTAGGGCGGACTGTGAAGAGGTGGGCTTGGGTCAGCTCGTATGTGGCCTTGTAACCCATAGTAAGGAATCTTTTTAATTGCTCTAGGAAGCCACTGAAGGGTTTTTAACTGGGATGTGACATGATCCAATTCACATTTTTTTTTTATTTTTTTAAGATTTTATTTATTTATTCATGAGAGACAGAGAGAGAGAAGCAGAGGGAGAAGTAGGCTCCCAAGGAGCAGGGAGCCTGATGTGGGACTCGATCCCAGGACCCTGGGATCATGACCTGAGCCGAAGGCAGACGCTTAACCATCTGAGCCACCCAGGCGCCCCGTCCAATTCACATTTTAATGTCATCATTCTGGCTGCTCTCTGGAGAACAGATGGAAGAGGGGAAGTTATTGTGTTGGGTCAGTTGAGACAGGACGGTAATTTAGATTAGGATATGGATTAGAGTAGTGATCAGATTTGCGATGTATTTTGGGAGGTAGGACAGACAGAACAAGCTGACAGATGCGTGTAGAGGGTGCCAGAAAAAAGAATGGAGGATGACATCTCTTAAGTTTTGACCTTAATTACTGACCTTAAGCTCTGTTTGGTCATGTTAGGTTTGAGCTGCCCCTTAGACATCAAGTGGAGATGCCCGGAGGCCAGTGGGGATTTGGATCTGGAGTTCAGAGGAGAGGTCTGGGCCAGAGAATAAGTCATTGGCGTAGGTACTGAAAACCTGGGATTAGAGGTCTGGATCTGACTTGGAAAAGCAGAAGGAACTCCTGATTGGGGACGGGGAAGAAAAGTGTGAAAAGCTCTAAGCTCTAAAACCATGATGAGTTAACCATAACTGCAGTTATTTTCTATTTGCAAAGAATCCTGATAGCTCCTTGGGACACAAAGTTGTGAAACTTCTAGGATAGAATACTTTTGTCTTGCTAACAATAAATCTGGCTGATGAAGTTCAGAGGAGGGAGGAATTAGTTTAAGTAGGATGGGTTAAGAAAGACCACAGGGAGTTAAGGTGTGGCTTATTTTATTTTGTTTTGTTTTTAGCTAATTTTAATTTTGGAGGAACAATTTGGAAATACTGAATTTTCTTTAAGCTGCTTACTTCAACTTAGAAATTATGCATATAAATCTAGAAAAATAAGAAAAATGACCTTCACTTTTCCTTTGATGTTAGAACTCAAGTTGAACTAACCTTAAATTCCTTTAAACAGTCAGCCCCATTTACAGCTTAATTACATTCCCTTACACATTTATTTTGCTTATAAGTTTAATATATTTTATTTTCTTCTTAAGTACTTCAGATACATAACCTAACAAGTATGATTTCCTAAGAATATTTAAACGCTACTAGAAAATCTAATAAATTAAACTTACAAACATAATGAATTTCAAGTTCTTGTAAACAGTTCAATACTTTTAAGAGACTTAGTTAAATTCTTTTATGTCACTGATTCTCAGTCTGGAAAGCTAAAAAAAAAAAAATAGAGATGCCATCTCTGACATGAAATTAGGATATGGGGGGCACCATTAGTAGCTTTCACAGCACTCCAGATGATTCTAACATGCAGCCAGTGTTCCTAATCATTGCTGACCTTTCAACTTGAAATGATAAATCTAGTATCAATTACTGACATATGTTTTATCAATTACCTAACTATATATATATTAAACATCTTTTTTTCTTAAAGATTTTATATATTTATTTGAGAGAGAGACAGAGAGCACAAGCAGGGAGGGGGCAAAGGGGGAGGGAAAGGGACAAACAGACTCCCCGCTGAGTGCAGAGCCCGCGGGCGCTCAATCCCAGGACCCTGATATCATGACCTGAGCGGAAGTCAGACACTTAACCAACTGAGCCACCCAGGTGTCCCCCTACCTATATATTAGAACTTCTGTATTTTTTTTTTTAAGTAAGCTCTACACCCAGTGTGGGGTGTGAACTCACGACCCCCAGATCAAGAGTCTCATGCTCTATGGACTGAGCCAGCCAGGCACCTCTAACTTCTGTATTAAGTAATCTCTTTTTTAAATTTTTATTTTATTATGTTATGTTAGTCACCATACAATACATTATTAGTTTTTGATGTAGTGATCCACGATTCATTGTTTTCATATAACACCCAGTGCTCCATGCAGTAATCTCTACAGTCAGCATGGGGCTGGAACTTACAACCCCAAGATCAAGAGTTGCACGCTCTACCAACTGAGCCAACCGGGCGCCCCCAATATATTTCTCAATTCCTAACTTCTGTATTTTAAATTGGAATCACAATGCTTATCTGTCATACTCAACATGTCAAATTCTTTTCAATGTTATACTTTTTTTTAAATTAAGATTTTGTTTATTTGACAGACAGAGACATAGCGAGAGAGGGAACACAAGAAGGGGGAGTGGGAGAGGGAGAAGCAGGCTCACCGCCGAGCAGGGAGCCCAATGCGGGGCTCAATCCCAGGACCCTGGGATCATGACCTGAGCCAAAGGCAGACGCTTAACGACTGAGCCACCCAGGCGCCCCGTCAATGTTATAGATACTTTTAAATAGTAAGTATATGCGGACTATTACTAAACTTAGGTCAGGAGCATCAGTAATTTTGATTTATTTTACTACCTCTATTTTCAATTCTAAACTTACCTGGAGCGTGACAGGATACTTAGCTAGTAAGAAAACAGCTTTATCCATTCTAATGAATTGTGTTTAGCATTCCAATCAAGTTGGGTTTACCATTTCAGTGAGCTGAGGTTATTTATAATCAGACCGGTTTCTGAGACAAGAATCCAGGGGTTGTGCCTCCCCAGAGTTACTGTCCCCAGCAGAGGCTGCCTATGGGATGCAGGGACTAGAGAGGTCGAGGAGCAGGAGAAGCTTGTTCCCCCAGCCTTTGTATTTTAAGGGGTACCTACTAGAGGGTACTAGATTCACTGATTAAAATGCAGATTTCTGGGCCCCGCTCCAGAACCGCTGAGTCTGAATTCCTGGAGATCTGACCCAGGAGACTTCATTTGTATTAAGATCCCCACCAGGAGCCATGGAAAATCTTGAGCAGGAGTCGTTCTAAGAGGGTCGATCTGATGCTGCCCCGGGTGGGGTGACTGAAGAGGCTGGTTCGGGTGCTGGGAAATGAGACCTGACTTGGGCAGAAGTGAGGGTGGTGACAAGACCAGCCTGGAGGCAGAAGAAGGGGGGAGACAGAGGCAGATCTGAGTCTAGGTTTCTGGTTCAGAAGCCTCCATCAGACTATTTTTACTTTTCCTGTTTGGAAACTCTGGCCTCCTGGGACCTGTAACTATCTGATGAGAAACTGTGTCTCCAGCCTGCAGCTCACTGGAGCCCAGATTCGGGTTTCACCAACCTGTGCTGAGCCAGGTCTGCTTAGAATCATGGTGTGTCCTATCGGCCTTCAGCCAGGGACTGGGGTAATGTCTGCCATAGATCTCTTTCAACACCAGCCCTGACTGGGTCCATCCAGGTGGACCGGGTCATTGGAACCATCCACAGCAGCCTCCTAAGGGAGAAGGAATATAGTACTTATCCTTGCTTGACAAATTGCCCACTTTTTTGAAGGGATTTTTTTGAGAAAATTAAGAACAATACACACTAAATGTAGAAACTTAGAAAAATACAAAGTGAGAAAAAATTTCTGGACATAATCCTATTATCGAGACATGGTCACAATAAATATTTTGTGTCTACTTGTGGGTGTGTGGTTGTGTGGGTGTGTTGGGGCAGGACGTTCTTTCTCCTTAAAAAAGTGGTATCATGTACAAACTGTTGTGATAAGCCATTTTTTTTTTATTTAGCAAAAAGGGAATAGTCTCCTTTGATTTGATTTTTTTTTCTTTTTTCCAAAGATTTAATTATTTGAGAGAGAGAGGGAGGGAGAGAGGAGCAGAGGGGCAGAGAGAGTCTCAAGCAGACTCCCTGCTGAGTGCGGAGCCCGACACAGAGTCAGTCCTATGACCCTGAGATCATGACCTGAGCTGAAACCAGGAGTTTGATACTCAACCGACTGAACCACCCAGGCGCCTCACCTTTGGCTTCATTTTTTTTTTTCTTTTTAAAGATTTTATTTATTTATTTGACAGAGAGAGACACAGCGAGAGAGGAAACACAAGCAGGGGAGTGGGAGAGGGAGAAGCAGGCTTCTGCCAAGCAGGGAGCCGGATGCGGGGCTTGAGCCCAGGACCCTGGGATCATGACCTGAGCCGAAAGCAGACGCTTAATGACTGAGCCACCCAGGCGCCCCATTTGGCTTCATTTTTAATGTCTATCTGGTAGTGCATTGAACAGATGTGGCTCATGCCCTAC